AGTGGGGTGTCATATCTGGTACCTGGCCTACGGGTAGGACAGAAAGACACACAAAGAGGTCTGGGGTTACCCCTGTGCCCACAGTGATCCCCATGGGGATCTCTTCCTCAGGGTTTCACTCTCCTTTAGGAGCCCAGTGCAGGGCTGTCACCACTGCCATGTACCCTGCACCTCGCTCAGCTCAGGCTGAGATCAGTGCAGGCTGATTTTGTGCTGAACTGCTCAAGAGCTTGGCTAAGGGTGGTGTCCAGCACCCCTCCCACAAGCCTAGCCTGGGGGCTGCCCTCTCCCATGCTTTTGCAGCAAGGGTATGCCCGATTATGAGCCCCAATGGGCCTAGTAAAAACAAGTTAGACACGCGCTCCCAAACTTTTGGGAGCATCCAGAGGTGTAGTGCATGCTGTGATCTTCAGACAGCAGGAATATTATTATCACACTGGCCCTGGGAGTTTCATGGTGGCAACCTCCCTCTGTAATGAACAGCTCTCCCATGCTTTTGCAGCAAGGGTATGCCCGATTATGAGCCCCAATGGGCCTAGTAAAAACAAGTTAGACACGAGCTCCCAAACTTTTGGGAGCATCCAGAGGTGTAGTGCATGCTGTGATCTTCAGACAGCAGGAATATTATTATCACACTGGCCCTGGGAGTTTCATGGTGGCAACCTCCCTCTGTAATGAACAGCCCCCTCCCTCTCTTACTCCCAGCCTCACAGAAACCTTCTTTATTCCCCTGTTTGATAGGTGATTGCTGCTGAGGGGGAAAAGGCTGCTTCTGAGTCCCTGCGGATGGCAGCTGAGATCCTGTCCGGTGCCCCTGCTGCTGCTCAGCTCCGTTACCTCCACGCACTGCACTCCCTGACTGCAGAGAAACCTCCTGCTTTCATCTTGCCCTTGCCGTTGGACGCCATGAACTTGGTCTCTCCAGCTACCCAGAGTCCTCCAGCAGTGAGCAGCCTCCTCGCAGCCACCACAAAGCTCCCAGAAGGCTCAGAAGACAAGAAGGACTCACCCATGCTCTAAGTAAGGTCTGTCCCAGAAATGGTTGTCACACTGCCCATGGCCAGTTCTGCTCAGAGAGGAGCAAAACAGCTGATCTACTGGCAGGTCCTGGTCTGGAAGCCTGAGGGAAGGGAGCCCAGGCCTGTAATATAAAGTGGATTGTGCACGGAAGAAGCCTCTGCTTGTTTTGGGAAGGGGAAAATACAGAGCATAAGGAGCAGGTCTGGCACATACATAAGCAGAGGGTTGAGGGAAGAGGGGTGTCATCCCTTCCCCTTCACAGGGCTAGATACACCTTGACACCCTTGGGCCTGGCCCCTGGGGTCTGATCCGTCCTGCCCCATCACTTTGGCAGGAAGGGGCTCAGCACGCAGGCAGGTTGGTGGGTGCTGCCAGCCTGGTTAACCCTTTCAGTGAAAAAATTTTTCCTAATATCCAGCCTGAACCTCCCCTGGCACAACTTGAGGCCATTTCCTCTTGTCCTGTCGCCTGTGACTTGAGAAAAGAGACCGACCCCCATCTCTCTACACCCTCCTTTCAGGCAGTTGTAGAGAGCAATAAGGTCTCCCCTCAGCCTCCTCTTCTCCAGGCTGAATAACCCCAGTTCCCTCAGCCTCTCCTCATCAGACTTACTCTCCAGACCCCTCACCATCTTTGTCGCCCTTCTCTGGACCCGCTCCAGCACCTCAATGTCTTTTTTATGGTAGGGGGCCCAAAACTGGACACAGCACTCAAGGTGAGGCCTCACCAGTGCCGAGTACAGGGGGACAATCAGGGCCAGATACACCTTGACATCCTTGGGCCTGGCCCCTCAAGTCTGATCTGTCCTGCCCCATCACCTTGGCAGGAAGGACAGGCTACCCCTTATGTACTTAAATGCCCCCATCCCCAAACTGAACAGCCAGGCAGGCAGGGGGGAGCCCAACAATCAGTGGGGGAGCAGGAAGGGGCTCAGCACGCAGGCAGGTTGGTGGGTGCTGCCAGCCTGGTTCTCCTGGATTTTGCTCCCCACCCATGCACACATACAGAGGCACACAGGCAACCAAGGTGTTTAGCCCTAGCTCTAAAACAGGGGGAAAAGGAAGAGGAGGAAAGGGCCGCCTTTAAGGCTTGGCATTTCCCTGCAAAGCACATCAGCCGTGCAGAGGGAAAGGCAGGCTGTGCTGCTGCTCGCTTCCACTGGGGGGTGAGGCAGGACAAGATCTGAGCTTGTGGGCATCTCTAAACATTTTCGAGGTGATCTGTTTGACCAGCTCCCACTGAGCAGACAAGGGGGAATCCAGCACCGCTGGGAAAGAGCTAACTGAAAGCCTCAAGAACAGTAATACCTTTGCCTGCTGCAGCTGCCCTGGTAACCACACACAGAGAAGGAACAGAGAAAGTCCTCAAAACTCCTATAAATCCTCACCACTGTTATCTTTCCTGCCAAAAGCTATTTGAAATGACCAGGAACTTACAGATACTGCAGTCTTTTTCCTTGGCAAAGACACGGAGCACTGTCAAAGGAAATACCACAGCACTTGGTTTCTCTGATGCGGGTGCCCTTTTGGTGGATGTCAGCTCTGCCCCTGCCCTTTTACTTGACCTGCAGCATCTTCCCTTCTTCAATGCAGACCTCTCTTGCACAGCCATTCCCAGGCCCAACATTCTGCTGCTGGTGGTCTGTAGAGGCCAAGATAGAGGGTATTTTTTGGCCCTTCTCTAAATTGGCCCCACAGTAGCTGGCTGTCATGCATGTGCCTAGCAGGAGTTGCTCACTTTTTCATTTTCACTCATTTTATTCAGTCTCTCTTTCCCTGCTGGTCACACTCACACACATTGGCACTTATCCTGGGTAATACCTCTGTTAAATGCAGCTGCATCACGAGCGTGGCCTGTAGGTTATGGCTTAATACTGCTGCAAAGGACAAGGATCCCACTTGTACTAAGTACCACATATTCTGTTTTTAATCACTCCCTTCAACTCCCTGGAGTCCTCCTCTCAACAGTGTTCCCATAATACTCGCTCACTACAAGTATTTGCTGGCCTTTTAACAGTGAGGACTATTGGTGAACCAGCCCCCTTTACAAGTGGTTGAGAAGTGGGGAAAATCCACTTGTGAGCTTCTCTGTGATCACACAAGCATCCGTGCTCCAGGTGTAACCTCACGTCTGAGTCATTCTGCCACCACAGTCCTCTCAGGAGAGGGCAGCAGAGCAGCTGTGGCTCCTCCTGTGTGTCTGTAATAGGTCTCAGTAGTGATCAGCATGTGGAAAATCATAGAATCATAGAATTGCCCAGGCCAGAAGGGACCTCCAAAGGTCATCTAGTCCGACCTCCCCGCAGTCAGCAGGGACACCCCCAACTAGACCAGGTTGCCCAGGGCCTCGTCGAGCCTCTCCTTGAATATCTCCAGGGATGGGGCCTCAACCACCTCCCTGGGCAACCTGTTCCAGTGCTCCACCACCCTCACAGTGAAGAACCCTCTCCTCATCTCCAGTCTAAATCTGTTCCCCTCCAGCTTGAAGCCATTGCCCCTCGTCCTGTCACTGCAGGCCTTTCTAAACAGGCTCTGGGAAGTGGAACAGCTCTGTAATCTTCCACTGGTGAACACGAGCTCTGTGGTTACTTTTCTAAGGCTAGTTCTGGTTATTTCTCATGCTGCTGGAGAAGCTCCCTGTTTCCCAACCCAGGGCAAAAGGGCATACACCGAGTGAGCTGCAGATGATCCTTTCTTTGAACACTTCTCGCTACGTTTCTAACTCCATGTGAAATGATCCATCCAGACCAAGATTCCTGAGCACATCAAAGGCCAACACCTCTACAGACAATGTCTCAAAGGAACAACACTCAGCCTGAGAAATGACTGTCAAGAGAGATGCAGTACTATGCCAGGGCACACACATTACCCTTTTGCACTCATATCTGCAGAAGTCAGGCATAGCTTTTTCAAACATGTAACTTTTCTGTAGTCAGGCATAGCTTTTTCAAACATGTAACTTAACTTTTCTGTGGTTACAGAAAAGGCAAATTATAGCTAAGAGCATCCTCAGTTCCAAAGCCTGCCTTTTTTCCAGCAGGATCTTCTCTCCTTTACATATACAGAGCTGGCAGAAACTTGTCATTTTACTTTCAGGAGATATTACACTGGAAAACCTTGCAGAAGGAAAACATCAGTTAAAAATGTACTTCAGAATTAGTAATATATGATGTTTCCAAAACAGAATTTGCTCTGAGGGAGTTGGCAGGGGTTGTCTGAACCGATGCGATTCCTGACAGTTTCACTGCCTGCCGTTCCAGGCTGAGGCTGGGTCAAATTGCAGAGTCATGGCAAAACCCAGGCAGCTCTGCTGGCCTGGCAGAGCTTTATAACTGTACAGACTGACCTGGGGTTGTGGACCCGACAGAGGCAGAAGACACGGGTGGCCACCTCACTGGGCAGTTTGGCCTCTTGAAGCTGTAGGGGTACTGCACATGGGGAGCTAGGGGGCTCAGATACCAAACATGGGAATCACAGGGAGATGGGGCATTTACAGGCTACCCCAGAGCACTGAGTGAGTGACCTGGCATCATCTGAAGTCTGATGTTGTGACCTTGGCTACAGGAAGTTCTCCTGTGGCAGCAATTTGAGAAAGGCCTTCAGGATCACACGCTGCTTCAGGCTGCTTCATGCTTCCTGAAAGAAGGACAAGACCTTTAAAAGAAGAACATTCAAAGACAAACAAAAATTTGTCCATACAATTCTGCACAATTTCTGTACAATTTCTTCCTAACCAGTCAGCTGGTAACTGAATCATCTAAAGCCCAGGGGATGAAGGAGGTACCCATTATCAGATACACAACCAAGCCATGCTGGCACTGGGGAAAAAAAACCAACCTTGGTACAAGAGGAAAGAGGTGCAAATGATTTACTTGAATGATCCACCAGGGATAAGGCAGAATGATGTAGAGCAGCAAGAAGAGATTGATGAACACAACCAAGAGGCAAGCACAAGGCAAGGGAAGGGAGGGAGGGTGCACAGGCAGGAGAAAGACAAAGTTGCTATGGTATTACAAGGAAGACAATCTGTAAAGATATTAGAGCTGTGGAAGGCAGTAGAGGACAAAGAAGACAGATGTAGAAGTGGCAGAGCCAGCTAGAAGAACAGCATAAATGCTGAGATAGCACAGAGATGTTGGGGTAGTGAATGAGAAGTAAGGCAGTGGATCAGGGGTGAGTTGAATGGGCTCTGAGAAACTACTCAGGCATTACTGTTCTTTAATATTCGCTTTCTCCGGATCCTTCGGACTCATCAGAGGTAGAAGTTTTGGGACTCAAGCAGGCCTCTACTTCTGGGACATTTTCTTGGAAATATTTTTCTGGAAAAAAAAAAGAAAAAAAACAAAGCAACAAACCAAACTCATTAAAAATACGACAGAGTAAAAATGTACCCAAGGTATCACGTTCTTAACAAACAAATTAGCCTCTCCTCCCACTTTGATGTCAAAGAGATGGGATACACTGAGGGAAGAAGTTTTGATTCCCATTCTTTCTCCTGTGCAGACCCAGTTGAGAAAGGACACAAGGAAATACTTTCACCCACAACAAACATGCAACCTAAGGAACTCCCTGCCACATCATATTGGCATGATCTGACAAAGAGTCTAGAGAAAACCCTAGGGTGTGTGCAGCCAGAGAGGGTCCTGCACTAAACAGGAGATGAAAGAGGTGTCCTCAAATACTGCTTCCCTCTGTGAGTCTAGGAGAGGGTTCAGAATACTGATTCTCCTGACCTTGCCCTTCTTCGTGTGTGGCTTCTGGGGTGACTTTCCCTTCTTTCTCCAGCTCACTCTCTAGCTCTTTGATTCTCTGCAGAGCTTCTTCCAGCTTCTCTTCAAGACCCTCAGATCTCTCCTCTGCATTCTGGGCACGGATCTCTGTTTCTCTGAAACACAGAAGCAAAGATACTGCTGAAACCTGAAATCTAAGCAGCTGCTGGCAGGATACCGAAAAGAAAGATTTAGAAAGCTGAAGTGTTCAGTAGGATTGACTGACTCTATAAAACACGTTTATGGTTTCAGAGAAGGGCATTGTTAGAAGATCTATAAAGGACTTCATGGCACATCTATATGTAAACCCTGCAAATTGAATTAATTTTCAAACTCAGTGTTTGCTAGCAAAGGGTGAGATGCCGATCTTCTTTGTGCAAGGATAAATACAGAGCACAGTCAATTCTATTAGCAAGGCTAATGAGATGGGCTTATTCTGGATAATGCAAGCTCACAGACAACACAAGGAGTATGAGGGAGTGCAGTTCGGAGTGCCCAAGCCTGCTTAAGCGTGGAAGTAATTACCAGACAGAAACCTTAAAGTGGTTCTGCATAGAGTTTCTTGGGTGTCCCTTCATTGTCTTCCCCACACTTAGGCACAACATTACGTGGGGCTGTACCTACCAAGCTCCTGGGTACTAGAATCACAGAATCTTAGTGGTTGGAAGGGACCTCCAAGATCATCAAGTCCAACCACATAAAAAACAACAACAAAAACAACAAACAAAAAAACCCAACAACAACACACAACCACAAAAACAACCAACCCAAAAACACCACCCACCAACTAAACCCCACACCCACAACCCCACACACTACACCCCACCACAAACCAATAATCTTGGGCACTAGAGCATGCCCTGAAGAGCCATGTCTACATGTAAAGCCCCTAGAAATGCTCAGCTGCATTCATGTAGCACCTTGCAGTGCTAACGGGACCTGAAGTATTAAGAAGTCTTACAGAAAACCATGATGAGTACCTCTGCAGTGTACCTCATAAGTACACAAACCAGAAAATCTGCTCACAGGTGAAGGAGAGCTGACATGGGTCATGTCTTCAGCTAACATAAATCACAGTCAGTGGCCCAAGACAATCAGAATGGAAGGAAACCCAACATTAAGCCAACAAATATTGGAGAACCAGAACCATATCAGAGAGCAGAACAGGCACTTGCCTGGGATGAAAGCCTGCTCTGCTCACCACCCGGCACAGGACCAGTACTCACATGAGCTGCACTTGCAGGTGTTCCAGCATTGCAAGGGCTTCAAACTCTTTCTGTGAAAAAGGAGTCGACGGCTTGGTGGCAGTCATCTCCCTCTGTTTGGGAAGAGCAAGACCTTCTATGAGTGAATGTGAAACCAATAATGCTGCATTTCCTCTGCAGCATGTGTCTGGTTTGGTGCTGGTGTCTCAGTGCAGAGTCACAACACAGACAAGAGCTCGGTACCAGCATTACATGTAAAATCAGAGACTAGTTCAGGCACTGAACTCATCTGGGAATTAAAAATAGACTAAAACGCTTTTCTAACTCAGACATGAAAGTCTCACTGTCCCATAGTCTTGGGTTGCTGGTGAATTCACTGGGTTACAGGGGTTGGAGATGACTGTAGTCTGACCGGGAGGGAAAAAAACAGCAAAACAATATTCATAGAACACAAAGAGGCAGCTCCTCCAACAGGCATATCTAAGTTTTCTTCATCTGAAGACGACAACCAGGGTTTTTTCTGTAAGAGTAACTGTTAAAAGGTTCCTACTCTGAACTTTGGATGGTAATTGTGATTTCCAGGGATTAATTTGTGTAAGACAAACCAAAGTACATGAAGAAACACTCCTGCCTCTCCCACTGTCACTCGTGCACTGGGTGCCCACCTCTAATGCATGAAGGGCAAGGCACACCCAGCAATGCAGCTGATTAGGAGCAGGAGCATCCAGTGACAGTTTGCCAACAATCCACAATTCCTGTACCTCTGGGCTCCACTCTGGATGACTGGTTGAGCAGGGAGTGACTGCAAAAGGCAGGCCCATATAACTTCTGAAGAGCAACTTTACCAAAGAGCACCATCCCAAAGGCAAGTGGAGAAAACGAGGACCTAGGAGGACAAAACAACCTCAACTTTCTTCCCTGTTGTTGTGGGACCTCCCTGAACCTCTGAATCCTCTTCAGCTCCTCCCATGTGCTCAGCACCAAACTATTTTCACCATCTGTGTCTCTGCAGATAGTTCTGGTTCAGACTACATGTATCACCTGTTATTGGTCCCACAAAAGTTCCAGGGCCGTGGCAATAATGGAGGACAGGAGGACAACTTGCAGCTGTGGTAACTGTGCTACTGATTATTTAAAATTGCAAAAGGAGAGGAACCAAAGAGAATATTAGCACCTTGCAGTGCCCCAGCAGGCTTGACAAAAGTGTTAAAGGGGGTCTCATGAAAGAGTCTGAGCAGACAGCTAAAAGCCAACTCCAAATCTCTGCCAACAGGCTAAAACCATTCATGCAGTGGTGACTCCTACCCCTGTAACCGAAACGATGTCTGACTTCAAAGACTTCAGGTGGACGTTGGAGTCATGTCCTACATATCTGATCATGTCTGCAGCAGCTTCATTGTCCTCGGTCAGATAATCCATACCAGCACCTGGCTGCTGCTGAGAGAGAAAAGGAACAAGAAACAGGAGATACCACTAGCTTAGCGGCATTCACAGCAGCTGTAAGGCCATGTTTCACATCACATACACCAAGCAATAATTTAAAAGGCCCTGTTGGAAAGTAGCACATTGCAGCTACTACAGCCACCTGCATAAGAGCAGTTTCCTCCTTTACTTCTAGTGTTTCTTCCTCTGTTATGGGTTTCCCGTTGCTGTTGGCATCTTCAGCTTCAAGCTCTTCCCGAGGCGAAGAACTGACAGTGTCCTTAAGCTGAAGCTTCAATTGCGATTCCTAAAAGGCACCATAAGGATCAAGTGAGTAGCACAGTCCGTCCAAATAATCAGGGCAAATCTAACTTTCTCTTGTGCGTATTTAGACTTGGACTTCAGCCAGCTAGGCGGGTCCTGAATATGAATATATTCCAAATCACAAATGAATATTTTAATTCCTGAACATTACATAAGCAGGACCCCCTGTGGCATACCTGCATAGGCCATGGCAGGGAGAAAAAGAGGGGCAGCACACGAGCTACAGCACTGGCTGTTTGTACACAAAGTCATGAACAGCATCACTTTGCTTAGGGGATTGAGTTCAGAACTGATGCCAACAAATTGTTCAAGGGGGGCAGCACACGAGCTACAGCACTGGCTGTACACAAAGTCATGAACAGCGTCACTTTGCTTGAGGGACTGAGTTCAGAACTGATGCAAACAAATTGTTCAAGACAATAAATAAAGCCATTTCCTCATCATCTGAATTTAACCTGTTTGGTATGAAAGTAGCCCAATGCCGGGCCAACCATCTATAAACCACATTTAATTGTCACAGGAAGTCTCAGACATCCATTTAGCCACATAAGGAATTAAACAAGATGTTCAGCCTGATCTCCTGGGCAAGGCAACCACCAGGATTCCAGCCAAAGTCCATGCCAATGGGTGAAGCAAAAGCTATCATGCACCATGGGGAACTGATCTACCAGTGGAGTAAAATCTCCTAGCTCCACTGAAGCTCTGGTTTTGCCTTAGACCTGCCCTCACAACAAGCACTGTGATTTTTAACCAGCTTACAATCATAACACCTCACAGTTCTTATCTGCAGCTTTGCGTGCATGCAGGTCTCCACATAAAATCTTCCCTCAAACAGAAGTGTAGCTACTTCCTGAAGGTAAAGTTTTGAAGCAGGCCTTCATTCAAAATGGTTCAACCTAGAACCACAAATGCAGAATATATATACCTCTGATCCAAAGAGGTTTCTCAGTTTTTCTAAATCCAGAAGGGAGACCGGAGTGCCTCTGATTTCTGAAAGGAGAAGACTACACACTTGAATCCAATTACAGCACTCAGTCTGGAAAGACATAAAAGAAAATGATTATTCAAGGATTATTGAGCAGAAAAAGATAGCTGTTGTTATATTAATTGTGTCAGTTAAATAATTCCACCTTTCTGTCTTTACCTGTTCCAGGGACCTACCTGGACCCTTCCATCCTCATCCTACAGAGGAAAAGACATATTTTTCCAAACTTTCTGTCACTGGCTAATCACTCCCACCAACTAATCCCTTCAACAAACTGCTCCTCAGGCCAGTACAGAACATCTGTCACATCCATTACCCCAGCCCATGTAGGGAGAAATGAGTGTAAATCCCAGGGGTTAATTTTTCACTTGCTAAGGTAACGCAGAAGAGAAGCACAAGTATTTTCAATCCCTGCAGAGAAGCTTCTTACGTTCCTTGAAGCAACACCATTTGCCCTGTGCTCAAGGAAGCTTTGGGCTTCAGGAAGGGTCTACCTTTTATATTCCCAAAGTGCAGACAAAGCTCAGCTAAACACTGGCGATGACAGTGGTAACAACTAAGAGCTTTACCTGCAAGTGCAGAATAAGGAGATGGCAGATCAGTTGACTGCAAAATGTTTTGGCTGCATCTGTATAAAGGTATATTGCACCAAGCACCCTTAGGAACTCCTGAGCACCGCTCAAATCTGGATGGACATGGCTCTGACAAGCTTTGAACCAGAGGTGAATCTACTGCCACTCATATGTAATAAATCTCCCAGGAGAGCCCTTACATATGTTCCCTGAAACAGGGTAGGAAAATACTAATACTGAACATGACCTGATCCAGGTTTATCTACTTTCCAGGACTGCAGAGTCAGTAGGAAACTTGGGAGACCACAGTAACCCACTGGAGTAGCAGGAGTCTTCCTCCTTGAAATCCTCAAATATATTTTTCTCTACCTTTTACAAAGCAAATGCAGTCTCGTTTACCCCAGACCTAGACAGTTGGAAACACAGGCAACTTTTACCTCGATCTTATTCAGCTCCTCCAGCTCAAAATCAGCTTCCAAATCCATTTCAGAATGTTTCTTTCGAATGATTGCATTGACAATATCATGGCAGGAGCTGCAAAGATGCAGAATGTCATTAGCCCCGCAGAAGTGCCCTCAAATGCTTTATTACCTTCAGCCAGGATCCTGCTGCTGTCAGCAAGGTACAGGAGCTATCTGCAGACCTCTGCAGTTGAGAAGTCTCCAGAAGAGCAATCCTTGCCTGCCCCACTCACACATTGACCTCCTGGACAGTGTTGTACTAACCCACAGTGGACGTGTGAGCACAGATCCTGAATCAAGGGGAGGCTTTGCTCCAGGTGACCTGGACTGCAGACTTGCTGTCTGTGGTGACCTTAGGTCCTCTGGAGGTCACCCACAGAAGGCTGGGCAGAGCCCATGCAGACACAGATGCCAGCAGGTTTTATAGCAGGTGTAAAGCAGGCACTGCCATTCTCTTTATGTGTTCCAATCTTATTAAGCTCCCTACAAATTCCAGTAAGGCCCCAGGATTAATCTCCCAGCACAGTACACATTTTTTTCTTGAGAAAACCCCTTTAGATGAAATTGATATCTGCTGATACCTGATTACGGAGCCAGAGAGTCTGCCCATCTCTGCAACAATCTCTTCAGCTCCGTGCTGCAGCTTACAGGCCTCCAGAAGTCTGAGCTCCTCATCCTTCTCGGTGTCTGACTCTTGCTGCCAGGGATGGTCCCAGGACACGCGGTCTGTTGTCACGTGTCTCAGCAAATTCACCACCCACAGGGTCAGGCTTTGGTGCAGTTCAGTCACCTGCATAAAATGCCAAAGCCAGTCTAAACCAGTAATAAATGACTGGTCTTGCCAAGTAGTCTGAAGTCAATGCATTTCACATAAGCCAATGTCCTACCTAGTTCCATTTGCAAACTGACCTAATGACAGAAACACTTGCTTTCACTACTTTTTCTCCCATATTCATTCCCATTACAAAGCCATCTTCTCCTGGCATGGAACTATCCTTCTCCCTGTTCTTGTTTAGGATCATACGCTGATTATCAGCCACATGGTGCTTTCTTTTTTCCAGAATTCAGCAATAAACCAAAAAACACACACCATGCTTATAGAACGTTTTAAAAATGCATGGTGAGAGCATTTGGTCTACAATCCTGGGAGAAAGAAGAAAAATCAGGGAGAGCCAGCAGCCAAAACAGTTGTCTGAACAGGAAATATCAATGTTATTCCAAAGGAAATGGGTGCTGAAGATGAAACAATAAAATTGCATTCATGCACTGTATAGGAGACCTTACAGCTATTTTTAGAGGAGTTCTCCTCTGCTCCTTTAACTGGAAGACAAAAGCCACAACTCAACTCAACAGGAAAGAAGGTGTCAAAAGAGAAATGAGCTTTCCTCATACCTGCACTCTGGCCAGATGGAAATTAAAGGAAAGGGTGAATACTACATACAGTGCTCTTATCCCTAGAAGTTTCAGGCTTGCACTTACTTTTTCATTAAGATCTGTGATGCTCTTCTCAACCTCATCATTCATGGACAGAACCCACTGCTGAATCATCTTAAAAAGTTCTTTAGGTACTACCCTGAGAAGAAAAAAAAACAAACAACAAATCCAGAAACAAATCTAGTGCACCAGACCCAAAGATCTCCTGTCACAAAGACATCTTGTGCTTCCCAGCTCAAGGAAAACTACATATTTTAGTACACCATATGCTGGAAACATGATATAGGCATTTTTATTAAAGCTATAGTTGTGGGCAAACTTGGCACTTGCAAGTAATCTCTTACTTGTTATGCTATGCATGTGCTCTGCAAATAATTTATTTCCTGATCATATTTACCAAACACAATGGAGTACAATGAGGAGGAATATGCCCCCAGAATTCTGACTCTAAGTGAATCACATATTTTTGGTTTTCTTCAAATGTCAAGATTTCCAAAGCAGGTGGCAGTTCTGAGGGAGACAGTGATGTTCCAGGAGTGATACTGAAGCCACCAACTGTTTCCACAGATATTGCCAAATCAAAGCAAATGAAAGGCAGTTGCCAATCATTTTAACACTTCAGCCGATCACGTTTATCCCACCGCACCAGGGTTCCCCCCCAAAAAATCATTTCTGTTTTCTTTGGAGTGACATTTAATGCACAAGGCCAGCCCAGACACAATTAACACCTTGGTCCTTACGGGAAATGTGGTTCCTTATCACCCTCAGCTTCATCCAACTTGCTGGAGCCTATAGAGCTCATCACTGCATTCGCCTGGGCCAGCCACACAGGAATATTGTGATAAAATGCCCGCAGCTCAGCTTCGTGCGTGCCAGAATGTCTCTTTGGCTTTTGCACCTTGAATAACCAATCTTCCATACTTTTCACCAAGGCTGTCAAAAACTTAGCTGTGACTGCGGGGGAGGAAAATATGAACCTTTAATTATAATTCTCTCAGCCAACAAAAACAAAGCTGGATTCAAAGAGGGATGCCAAGAGGGGTGAACAGCCTACGTGGGAACTGGCTACGCTTAGGACTAAGAATGAGCTGTTTAGTAAGCGCTGAATTCAAAGCAAGCTGAAAGAAAAGGGGCTTGATTTGAAGCCCTGACTTTCCTTCTTGTCTTGGCAGATTTGTCCCCCTCATTGCATAAAGGCTCAATATAACTCTTTCTTTGCAGTTACAACCCCGTTCTTCAAAGACGCAGGGGATACAGTATGCACTGATGTGCAAAAACACGTGGACAAGGTAGTAAATTACTGGTTCATTCACTGCTCTGGCACATGATATTCTCTGTTTACTGGGAATATGCTTGAAATATAACAACGCTTGCTCTTGATATCCAGTGTTTAAAAGCTGATGACATCCTGGCCTCCGTGACATCTTGTAACAAAGGTGGCATGCTAAGCACATGGAGGTGATGACAATTTTTTAAAATATTATTTTAATACTTAATTATTATTATTTCTACTGAAAGGCCATTATGAAAGGCCACATAAACAAAATAAATCCAAGTTATTCAAAATACACTCCCTGTATGGATCAAGAGAATACATTTCCTATGGCCCAGTTCCCAAAGCCTTTGTTAAAAATAAGCTAAAATCCTTCTTTTTCTGGACTTCACTGGCTGGAGCAATTTTGGATCAGATGTCTGTGCTGTGCTGCCTAGGTCTTAGTTCAGATCATGACTAACTATTAAGACTTTTGACAATCTGCTGTTAACTTTTTGCCTTGCTGGCATCTGGCCAGTTATGGCCTTGTTCTTTCTTTTTTGTCTCACTTTCTAGTGAGAACTACTGAGAATATTTACTTCCTTGAGGTGTCGCTTGGGATGGTCAGACTTATCATTCTATGTCAGCTCCTTTAGAAGGCTGAAATATAACATGTAGCATGAGATAATGTAGAGAAAAGCACAGGATAACCCTGAGTGAAAGAATAAGATGAGAGTATGAGAAGCAGCTTAGCAAACATGAGTTCCTGATGGCACACATTCAGTTTGGTTTTAGTCTGCTAAAAGGAAATAAGATGATTAAAAAAACATCAGAGATGAAACAATTCTGAAATCAGAAACGAGTCAAGGTCTTGCAGAGACAAAGGTTGAGAAGGTTAGTTGCAAATTACCCAATATATGTTTGTTATCTTACACAGGACATGATAACTCTCTATCAGCAAAGAAAACATTTATTTACATACTCTATTATCAAGATAATTTGTTATCTAGATTAAGATAACTTTGTGTTAATGATAAAGTAATAAAAAATATGTATTATCCTCTGAGACAGTGTTATCTGGTAGAGATCTCCAAAGTGATGTTTTACTTTACATTTTAAACATCCATTCTTTCCTTTTACATTTATTTTCTTTTCCATGCATAATCACAAACCACCTTTGAACATAACACGACTTCCCTTTGTCAATGCTCTTGATTCCCAGCACATAGAATCATAGAATTGACCGGGCTGGAAGGGACCTCCAAAGGTCATCTAGTCCGACCTCCCCGCAGTCAGCAGGGACACCCCCAACTAGACCAGGTTGCCCAGGGCCTCGTCGAGTCTCACCTTGAATATCTCCAGGGAAGGGGCCTCAACCACCTCCCTGGGCAACCTGTTCCAGTGCTCCACCACCCTCACAGTGAAGAACCCTCTCCTAATCTCCAGTCTAAATCTGTTCCCCTCCAGCTTGAAGCCATTGCCCCTCGTCCTGTCACTGCAGGCCTTTCTAAACAGGCTCTCCCCAGCCTTCCTGTAGGCTCCCTTCAGGTACATATCTGGGGGTCAGATTTTTTTACTTTTAGCTTTGGAAAAGGCCAGTACACGTTATGTCAACTGGCCCTTTATTACCCCCTACTTTCCCGACATCCCCAAGGAAAGACTAAACTGCAAAATTGGTCATTCCTTACCGTTATTCCCATCTATCCTTGCATTGTATTGCTGGTAGAGTTCACCTGCCCTTTGGTTTATTTCTTCCAGGGCAGCGTGCTGTGGAGGCAACGCTCCAGCAAAATCCCGGTGTCGATTCAGGACTGTTTGTCCCAGCTCCACCCAGTGCTCCTGCAGGCTGGCAGCGCTCCTCAGACTTTCCATCTTTCCCAGGTGACCCTCCCCTCCGTACTGCTGCAGGTCTTCTTTTAGTATCTGAAAGAAAAGTTGCAAGCTCGACGTACCCCCAAAAGTTGGCCTACCCCTTGGCTGCAACAAAAAGGTGATGGAAGTCAGGTAAGAGAAGTGTGATGAATCCATGAACATAAAGATGCCAGGGTGAATAAATAGCACAATAAATGGTGAACTTATTGGTGACAATTCTGAGCGCTTCTACAGATTAATGTCATTTATCAGTCACCAGAGCTGTCATCAGACAGTGCTCAACACATGACTAAGTTTAATGCATTGGCCAAACCATGATATTGGTCAATTATAACTTGTCATGTTCTTAAGCTTCTGCACAAAAGTTTTGAGCTAATGTGTTTTCGTTTACATTTGTGATGGGCAGAGATGCTCACTGTGGCTCAGCCAACACATGGTAATTTGCTGAGCAGATACCACTCAATGATACGTCCAAATGCCAAAAATCTTACATTTATCATGTTCTTGATATCTTGTAGGATTTCATCCAGTAGTTTTTCATTCATTGGAGAGGAGCTAAAGCAGAGGGAAAGAAGGGATGAGAGATGAGAGGAAAAACTCCTTTAGTAGCCAAGGTAAAACCAAGAGTAAAGACATACTCTTCTTTTTTTTTTAATCTTTAAAGATATATACCAAATTTGTGACACAAACTGTAACTTGAAAGAGAACTAAAACCCATCAGGCCCTACTCAACCAGAGATTTTTATTCTCTCATGTAGCACAACGCAGACACTAGGTCTCAGTTAAGAAAATATGTTACTTCCAGCAAAGATTAAAATCAAAGCACACACTAAAAATTCAGACATTATTAACTCTCTGATTGAAAACTATAAAGTGGTGTCTTTTATTAATGCACACATGTATATTTTGTGGTTTTTACTTGCATTTATACTTTGTTTTATTTCATATATCACAATGAACTAACAAAAAGCCTGCAAAAGATAATCACCTTAACAAACAAAATGACTTTGGATTTGAAACATCATGTGTCTCAGTCTCCTTTCGTATCTGTACATCAGAGAATTAAGTGCTATGTTGAAGCATTAACGTGTGTGCACTCGAGTTAAAACGAATCAAATAGCAGAATTCTGCCATAGCAACGACAGCTGCAAAAAGGACACTCTGGTTCACAGCAGGAGGGTACAATCCTTGCTCCTCCACTGAATTCAACCACAAACCCACACTATCTCTTTGGAGTTACTGTTAGGGACGTGACTATCAAAATATACTCATTGAGCAGAAAAGCAGAGCAGTGAGGGACAGTGCAAAGGGCACCTGAGAATCAGTGCACACTTTGCAGTGGGCTAGTGAGACCTACTGGCACAAGGCAAAGGTTGAGAGAGTCAACTGCTACCCCCAGTCCCTCTGGGCCACTCACAAGTCACTGCGATGGAAGTATTGAAGCCACTTGTTGAGGCTGCTGCAGACAGTTTGCAATTTCCCCAGGCTGGACTCCTTGGAACGCTCTATTTCTGCTCCAACACGACCCAGCCTCTCCCTGAACTGCTCGGTCTCTTCCTGCAGATCAGCCAAGTCTCCTGTGTCCTGCGTGCATCGGGCAAGAGGGTGGGAAAAAGGACTGTTGTCACGATTATTTTGATCCCAGTTGGAGGAATTCTCCCTTTGCCCTAGCTATTTTGAGATATGTACGTATCAGAGATCTGGGAAATGTCTGTCATTCCGCAGCCCAGCCCTCACAAACCCTTTGAGACAGGACTAGGGTGGCTCACCCTCCCCAGGCATGCCAGAACTGAGCACTTGACTCCTTGTTGCTTGTATGCGACTGACATAACATGCAGCCCCATATCTGCAAGGCCAAAATTACACTAGCCTGGATCTGGTTTGGTTTTATGGAGAAGGAACAGGGAGAAGGAAGAAAGCCACAATGAAGAAGAGGAAACAGAGGAGAAAGAAAAGGTTGAGGTAGAGAAAAGGGGCGTGGAGTAAAGAGAGAAAAGCAGAGACTGAACTTTTAATGCTTTGTTTGAAACTAGATCAAGATTTGAAAGTTCAAATAACAACCAAAGTACCAAATGCTTTACTGAGAACCATATACATAAACCACACACACACACTTTGAACAAGTACCCATTGCAGATGGGTCCCTACCTTTGAGGCCAGAAGGATTACAAAATGCTTGAGAACGTTGGTCAGTGTGCTTCCACTGTCATGAAGCCTGAGAACCAATGTGAGCTGGTTTCTGTCTATTATCTGAAAGAAACATGGTTATCTGCCCTGTTTTCTCCTGAGAGGAGAGACACCTGAGAGTAACACGGGAGCTTTACCATAAATAAAATGGAGATCAAGTGGTTGAGTCCACTTTCCTTACAATTAAATCTCTGATCTCCCCAACAGTCCCAGAAGTTCTGTGAACAGCTTTCATACTTGAACGAGATAAAGCAGGAGATCACAAACAAGGGAGACACAAAACAAGGAAGTGCAGAGTTAACCAAGAATGATATTTTGTGAGGAAGTGTAAGGCATCTGGCTACCATATTCTAAATTATGAGAATAGGAAGCTTTTTAGTCAAACCCATCTCTGAATGGAAACATTAATTTCACATAAGTTCTTCCTGCATGAACCGGAGATTGGTACCAGAAATGGTGTATAAATTAACCGGTTTCTATTTAAAAACCACACATGTGAAATGCAACAGACCTTGGGAAATGAGGTCAGGGCAAGTATGAGATGTGTTACTACTCAATTTCATTGAATAGAAATGTTCCTTGGGATAAAATCTGCCCTTGGAATAAAACTGCTAGTTATGATGGCTTATACCTTGCAATATATGACTGATCTCCTGCACCTACCTTCAGAGCCAGGTCATATGCTGCTGAGCTCCAAACGTCTCTCTCTTGGGCTACCAGCAGAATTTGCTCTTCCAGTCGTTTTCTCTGTAGCTCATATAATTCCCGATACTCTTCCAAAAGGCTAGAAGAAGGGAAAGACAATGAAATATGTGCACCTGTATTTCTCATCCACATTTAATGTCTTTCTCCCAAGGGTTTTCTTAGTTATTTCCTCTTCCTCCTCCCTTCCTCGGTCACCTCCTGCACAGCCTGTAAATTCACAGGTCCTTTTCCCTGAGTCCCTACAACACCTTTCTATTTCATTGTGAGTGTCTGACCAGTATAAATACAAATCTCTAAGTGAATTCATTTGCCTAAGCACTCACCACAACTCAGATACCAGTCACCTAAATCCTCAATTTCTCAGGTATCGGGGGATGTCCACAGGCTCTCAGAAGTTCAGAGCTGCAGGCTCTGTTAGACTATGAAGACCTCTCCAGTGGTGAATGTGGGGTGAAGAAAGTGGTAATTTGCTGAGCAGATACCACTCAATGATACGTCCAAATGCCAAAAATCTTACATTTATCATGTTCTTGATATCTTGTAGGATTTCATCCAGTAGTTTTTCATTCATTGGAGAGGAGCTAAAGCAGAGGGAAAGAAGGGATGAGAGATGAGAGGAAAAACTCCTTTAGTAGCCAAGGTAAAACCAAGAGTAAAGACATACTCTTCTTTTTTTTTTAATCTTTAAAGATATATACCAAATTTGTGACACAAACTGTAACTTGAAAGAGAACTAAAACCCATCAGGCCCTACTCAACCAGAGATTTTTATTCTCTCATGTAGCACAACGCAGACACTAGGTCTCAGCCAAAATTACACTAGCCTGGATCTGGTTTGGTTTTATGGAGAAGGAACAGGGAGAAGGAAGAAAGCCACAATGAAGAAGAGGAAACAGAGGAGAAAGAAAAGGTTGAGGTAGAGAAAAGGGGCGTGGAGTAAAGAGAGAAAAGCAGAGACTGAACTTTTAATGCTTTGTTTGAAACTAGATCAAGATTTGAAAGTTCAAATAACAACCAAAGTACCAAATGCTTTACTGAGAACCATATACATAAACCACACACACACACTTTGAACAAGTACCCATTGCAGATGGGTCCCTACCTTTGAGGCCAGAAGGATTACAAAATGCTTGAGAACGTTGGTCAGTGTGCTTCCACTGTCATGAAGCCTGAGAACCAATGTGAGCTGGTTTCTGTCTATTATCTGAAAGAAACATGGTTATCTGCCCTGTTTTCTCCTGAGAGGAGAGACACCTGAGAGTAACACGGGAGCTTTACCATAAATAAAATGGAGATCAAGTGGTTGAGTCCACTTTCCTTACAATTAAATCTCTGATCTCCCCAACAGTCCCAGAAGTTCTGTGAACAGCTTTCATACTTGAACGAGATAAAGCAGGAGATCACAAACAAGGGAGACACAAAACAAGGAAGTGCAGAGTTAACCAAGAATGATATTTTGTGAGGAAGTGTAAGGCATCTGGCTACCATATTCTAAATTATGAGAATAGGAAGCTTTTTAGTCAAACCCATCTCTGAATGGAAACATTAATTTCACATAAGTTCTTCCTGCATGAACCGGAGATTGGTACCAGAAATGGTGTATAAATTAACCGGTTTCTATTTAAAAACCACACATGTGAAATGCAACAGACCTTGGGAAATGAGGTCAGGGCAAGTATGAGATGTGTTACTACTCAATTTCATTGAATAGAAATGTTCCTTGGGATAAAATCTGCCCTTGGAATAAAACTGCTAGTTATGATGGCTTATACCTTGCAATATATGACTGATCTCCTGCACCTACCTTCAGAGCCAGGTCATATGCTGCTGAGCTCCAAACGTCTCTCTCTTGGGCTACCAGCAGAATTTGCTCTTCCAGTCGTTTTCTCTGTAGCTCATATAATTCCCGATACTCTTCCAAAAGGCTAGAAGAAGGGAAAGACAATGAAATATGTGCACCTGTATTTCTCATCCACATTTAATGTCTTTCTCCCAAGGGTTTTCTTAGTTATTTCCTCTTCCTCCTCCCTTCCTCGGTCACCTCCTGCACAGCCTGTAAATTCACAGGTCCTTTTCCCTGAGTCCCTACAACACCTTTCTATTTCATTGTGAGTGTCTGACCAGTATAAATACAAATCTCTAAGTGAATTCATTTGCCTAAGCACTCACCACAACTCAGATACCAGTCACCTAAATCCTCAATTTCTCAGGTATCGGGGGATGTCCACAGGCTCTCAGAAGTTCAGAGCTGCAGGCTCTGTTAGACTATGAAGACCTCTCCAGTGGTGAATGTGGGGTGAAGAAAAGGGAATCCCAGCACCTGAGCAATGAATGCAGCTTTCATGTCTTAAAACCAGAAAACTAGAAAAGTTTTGAACAGCTTTCTATCCCTTTGAGGAGGTTAGGATTTATAGTGAAGTTCTCTTTCCCAGAAGGAAATGGGCCCTCACCTCTCCTTCCCAACAACCCCAAAAGAATGATACCAGCACGCTGCAGAACTCTCCCAACCTCAACTTCAAAAGCTTCAACTTACTTTACACTCTCCTTAGCCTCCTGCATGCCTGCAGCTAGCTCCTCTTGAGCTTTTTCTGCTTCTTTGGTCACCTCGCGGTCTGGGAAAAAGGACTGTTGTCACGATTATTTTGATCCCAGTTGGAGGAATTCTCCCTTTGCCCTAGCTATTTTGAGATATGTACGTATCAGAGATCTGGGAAATGTCTGTCATTCCACAGCCCAGCCCTCACAAACCCTTTGAGACAGGACTAGGGTGGCTCACCCTCCCCAGGCATGCCAGAACTGAGCACTTGACTCCTTGTTGCTTGTATGCGACTGACATAACATGCAGCCCCATATCTGCAAGGCCAAAATTACACTAGCCTGGATCTGGTTTGGTTTTATGGAGAAGGAACAGGGAGAAGGAAGAAAGCCACAATGAAGAAGAGGAAACAGAGGAGAAAGAAAAGGTTGAGGTAGAGAAAAGGGGCGTGGAGTAAAGAGAGAAAAGCAGAGACTGAACTTTTAATGCTTTGTTTGAAACTAGATCAAGATTTGAAAGTTCAAATAACAACCAAAGTACCAAATGCTTTACTGAGAACCATATACATAAACCACACACACACACTTTGAACAAGTACCCATTGCAGATGGGTCCCTACCTTTGAGGCCAGAAGGATTACAAAATGCTTGAGAACGTTGGTCAGTGTGCTTCCACTGTCATGAAGCCTGAGAACCAATGTGAGCTGGTTTCTGTCTATTATCTGAAAGAAACATGGTTATCTGCCCTGTTTTCTCCTGAGAGGAGAGACACCTGAGAGTAACACGGGAGCTTTACCATAAATAAAATGGAGATCAAGTGGTTGAGTCCACTTTCCTTACAATTAAATCTCTGATCTCCCCAACAGTCCCAGAAGTTCTGTGAACAGCTTTCATACTTGAACGAGATAAAGCAGGAGATCACAAACAAGGGAGACACAAAACAAGGAAGTGCAGAGTTAACCAAGAATGATATTTTGTGAGGAAGTGTAAGGCATCTGGCTACCATATTCTAAATTATGAGAATAGGAAGCTTTTTAGTCAAACCCATCTCTGAATGGAAACATTAATTTCACATAAGTTCTTCCTGCATGAACCGGAGATTGGTACCAGAAATGGTGTATAAATTAACCGGTTTCTATTTAAAAACCACACATGTGAAATGCAACAGACCTTGGGAAATGAGGTCAGGGCAAGTATGAGATGTGTTACTACTCAATTTCATTGAATAGAAATGTTCCTTGGGATAAAATCTGCCCTTGGAATAAAACTGCTAGTTATGATGGCTTATACCTTGCAATATATGACTGATCTCCTGCACCTACCTTCAGAGCCAGGTCATATGCTGCTGAGCTCCAAACGTCTCTCTCTTGGGCTACCAGCAGAATTTGCTCTTCCAGTCGTTTTCTCTGTAGCTCATATAATTCCCGATACTCTTCCAAAAGGCTAGAAGAAGGGAAAGACAATGAAATATGTGCACCTGTATTTCTCATCCACATTTAATGTCTTTCTCCCAAGGGTTTTCTTAGTTATTTCCTCTTCCTCCTCCCTTCCTCGGTCACCTCCTGCACAGCCTGTAAATTCACAGGTCCTTTTCCCTGAGTCCCTACAACACCTTTCTATTTCATTGTGAGTGTCTGACCAGTATAAATACAAATCTCTAAGTGAATTCATTTGCCTAAGCACTCACCACAACTCAGATACCAGTCACCTAAATCCTCAATTTCTCAGGTATCGGGGGATGTCCACGGGCTCTCAGAAGTTCAGAGCTGCAGGCTCTGTTAGACTATGAAGAGCTCACCAGCGGTGAATGTGGGGTGAAGAAAAGGGAATCCCAGCACCTGAGCAACGAATGCAGCTTTCATGTCTTAAAACTAGAAAAGTTTTGAACAGCTTTCTATCCCTTTGAGGAGGTTAGGATTTATAGTGAAGTTCTCTTTCCCAGAAGGAAATGGGCCCTCACCTCTCCTTCCCAACAACCCCAAAAGAATGATACCAGCACACTGCAGAACTCTCAACTTCAACCTCAACTTTGAAAGCAACTTACTTTACACTCTCCTTAGCCTCCTGCATGCCTGCAGCTAGCTCCTCTTGAGCTTTTTCTGCTTCTTTGGTCACCTCGCGGTCATGTTCTTGTACCTCATACAGCTCTCTGAAACAGCAGGGAATGTTCTTAATGCAATTTAGCTCAACCCAAAGGTCTCTAATCTGGCAGACACAGACTGGTGGGCCCTACGCTATCACACAGGGCTCTCTTCCTCCTACACAATGATCTCACTGTAGGGGTGAAAGTCATCTCGATGATCTTCTCTTTCCAAGCACACATGTTGCTCCAACAACAACCCCTTTCTGCAGTCCCCCACCAATCTTTCCAAGCACACATGTTGCTCCAACAACCCCTTTCTGCAGTCCCCCACCAGTGAACCTTCAGCGTGCTAAGAAAAGGAGGTGGTTTTGACATTATTTGGCACTAAGAGGGTGCAGTAAGAGTGTGAGGAGGCTCAAGTGTGGTCCCTGTGGCTTTGCTTCAAATCATAGCACTGTCTTCCTGCTTCTATAGGAGGAAGATGAGAAAACCAAACAAAAATCAATGGACTAAGCCTAGGGCATAGGGATCAGGTGGGACTCATACCTGGCCAGCTGTCCAACATTTTCTTTAAAATGGAGTAGGTCTTCTGTAATATGTTTGTTCACCAACCGCTGTGCCATCATGTTTTTGTAGAGGAACTTCATCTGTTCAGGAATCCGCTCCAGGAGTCTCACGTACCTCTGCCTGCAGTAAAAAAGAGTTAAAAAAGGTATTTACCTGGGAGTGCAGTCTCTCCCCACCTGAAGATCCTTTCCTTTCTCTGTACTGAAAGCTATCTAGAAGGCAGTCTTTCAAGTGTTTGGACTGGGAATTTTAAACACTCTAGAACAATTTATTTGCTACACTTAGTGTTAATCTGAGCACAGGACACCAGCTGTGAGGGAAGTACCAGCTATTCTATGTGTGAAAACTTCTATTGAACGGCACACCAACAAGGTGCCCAAACTTCAAACTCCAGATTACCTAACAGAGGCTCATTAGCCCTGATTTTTAACTGCAGGGCAATCCTATTTCACACCTGGTATCAGATCCCACGTCAATTACATTGTTTTGCTGGGCAAGGACATTAGGAACAATATGCACTGTCTTATGCTACTCCCAGGAGAACACCTGCACAAATCAAGAGGGGGATTAAGGGTGGTTGGCTAATGGTGACCTGAGCTTTGAAAGCAGCTGTCCTCTCTCCTTGCAGTCCACGCTGACCTGCCGAATCAGCTCATGGAAAACGATGTTGTAGATGTTCTGCTCTGCCTTCATCAGCTCCAGCACCTTGTGAAGCTGGCAAAACAGGCAAGAAAAATCACAGCCTGGCAGAGCCTACTCCTTTAACAACGGAGGTTAGCACAGATCTGTCATTTCTTCTGAAGGAGGCTTCCCTTTGAGGACAAAACACTACTAAAGGTATGAAGGAGAAGGGAAAGAGCCTTTCTGCATGCATTCACAGGTTTGTTTTGGAATGTGTTGTGTGCTATCCTGACTACCCTCCCGTCAACATCCATGGAGCTTCTCTGCTAATTCCAGCTGGGGTTCCTGCTGAGGCAACGCTCCACATTTTTCAGAAATCCTTCCCCACCCATTCAAACTTTTTCCATTACTGTGCAAGAATAACACAAAATAAGGTCGAGCAAGGTACAGAAGTTCTTTGACATCTGGTTTTTAGGTGTATGAAGGTTTCCAATGACCTATTTTGTAACATAGCAGCCTGTCTCCCAATGAAGAGATGAAACAGCTACTGCCTTCATTCCTCCATAGTAATAATGCCAAATGCATTCCTTTCTGGCATTTTTGCCAAAAAAAAAATGTATTTCCTACACCAGCAAGACAACTGTTTTTTCTTTGTGGATCAGATGAACAGAAGTTCAGGAGAGGAAACCCCTGGTTGTTACAGGACCTACAGACAGCTGGCTTGGGCAGAAACTACCTGCTTGGAGGCCCCTTAAGCACAGCAACAGTAAACACTGGGGAAAACAGGATGTTATTTTTCTGGGTACAAGGAAGTTGTTTGGGTCCAAACGAGATATCTACCTGTAAAGGCCCTGTTACTCTGATGAGCTTGTCTACTCCAGCTTTTTCCAACATGCTGTCCATCACTTTCATCAGCTGGATGACCTCTAACCTCCCAGAAGGTTTCCTGACAGACCAGAAAGAGACAACCTCCCAGAAGGTTTCCTGACAGACCAGAGATACCTCATTATTCTGTATAGCAAGTTAGGATATTTTCCCAGGAAATTAAATTCAAACAGCTTTTTGTTTTTTTCCAACACCAACTTCATGTGGGCAATACTTACATGGATGGGAACAGCCGTAGTTTCTTTTCACGGTCTTCAAGCAGTGTTGTGTATTTACTGAAATGAACATAAATGTCAGAACTTGATTAGAAAGCAATCCTTCCAGTGCTAACTACAGGATCTCACTCTCCCCTTCAATCTTTGTCCCATGTACAAGCTGATGCAGGTTGGAGAGACAGAGAAGGCTCTACTGGGCTGCTCTTCAGTGGGAGCATCTAGAGCCTAACATGAGAATTGGACCTCCTGCAGCTGTTCCCCCAGCCAGAACTCCTTCTTCTTGCCACCAACAACACAAATCTTATAGGAATCCTCTCCCTTTAAGACCTGCCATGGTACTTGGCTAAAAAGTGAACAATGGGTTTAAAAGTTTCTGGTGGTGCCAGAAGAGCACCACATCCACATCACAACCACCCAGAGCCTGATCATAGGAGACCATCAAAATAAGACGACAGTGTTCTGTTACATCATGTTGGCAAAGAAGCTGTGAGGATTTCACCCTTAGTCTTAGTATTTTAATGCTTGAACAATGAGAAAGAATCTTCTTTCAATTTAGTAAGTTTGCCAGAGAGACCAAGGAGAGTCTCAGTAGCCTTTTTTGGGCAAGGCTTGGTAAATTCAATTCAAAATTCACAGCCTGAAAAATGAAAACAAAACAAAAAACTGCAAACAAACAAAGAAACAACAACAAACAAAAAAACCCCTGAGAGTGGTGAGATCACTCTATCCCCCCCGTTCTGAAGAATTGAGGACAAACCCTTGTAAACCAGAAATCACTCACTCGTCGAAGTACTTCAAGGGCAAAACTCCCCTGTTCTTCACGATGTGAAATTCCTTGGGAATCAGACTATCTGCCAGGGTGCCTCGCTGGGGATGGAAAAGAGAGAGAGCACAAAACATCAGCATAAAAGATGTGAATGAACTCCAAGTTCCTTCCCAAAGAGGACACGGGTTTGGTAGTGGGAGAGGGAAGCTCCATGTAGTGTCTTTTCATGCTGCTTTTCCCTTTCCTGCTCCACATGTCCAGAGCCTGACAGAAACAATCTCCCTCTGAAAGCAGATTGAAATGACTAACACCAAACTGTGGTGGAGAAGCTGGGAAGCTGTGAGCTGCAAGGAGAGGTGATGAGTTTTAGGACCAGGATAACATGTATGAGGACCTCCCTTCTCCCAGCTAGTGATACACACAGAAAAACACCTGAATGACAGCACTCACAGGAGGATGTGGGACTGTACCACGGCTCCCTCTCCGACCCTGAGGACCTTCAGAAAAAGAGCTTCTGTCAGGCATTGCTTCCTTAGCTCCTTGTCCAGACACAACGTCACACAGGTAAGAGACATCCCTGAAATGGAGGGGAAGAGCTCCTTCACTGACCCACCCCATTGGCAACCTACCAAATTCTAACCTAAACCATGCACAAGTTTGTTCTGCTCAGCCCAAGGCCAGGCTCACGGCCAGGACGCTCTCCCCTGGGCCAAAATAGACAGATGATATCATGTTTTTTAGACAGATTGATGTTTTTCGGGCATCGCCTATCCATTTTTCACATCTGCTGCCAACGCCCTATCACACACACATCCAGCAGCTGAGCAAGAGCAAAACATTTTTCACTTCTCAGCACCATTAAGCATCGCTTATTTACAAAGAAGTGTAAGGCTATTCCCTGCTAAGTCTATTAAAGCCAGAAGAGCTTCTTTTCTTAATCACGGATCACAGAGCATCCCAGTGAGACTGGCATCCTTGGGAAGGATAGTTCCAAGAATGGCTCATTTAGCAACTCTTTTCTTTATTATGTGCAAGACATCTTTCCCTTGAACTTCTCCAGCCTGGTTTGTTCAGGCAGCACAGCCACTTACCATTAAAAAAAAAGACCAAGGGAGAGATCTAGCTCCACGTTCCCAGCTCTAAAGTCTTTCCATCACCCTGGGCTCTTTATCCCTTCCTTTGCTTACCTTCCAGCGCCTGTCAAACTGACAGGGTGGTCTGTCAGGTGTCTGAACTTGCTCCGACGATTAGGATAATGCCAAAGCCGATCTGGGGTTTGCAGGCAGCCCTGCAGACAAGGCACACGTGGCTGTCACTTCTCAGCGAGGAACAATGCCAAGGAGTGGGGAGAGGGCAGGGTGGCTGTCTAAACAAGCTCCGCATCGTTATTTCTGTCTTGGGGCTAGAGCAGCTGGTAGGGACACCACCACAGCCTCGGCAAGGGCTTCCCAGCAGCACCAGAGCAGGTTTTGCCACCCCTGGAAGGCAGCACTTTGGATCTGCGTCAAATAACGCCCTCAGAAAAGTGATACGATATAAGATAAAATTAATCTCACGAGGTCGGCAAACTTTTGCCCAGGGAACGAACAGACAATTCTGGAGAAGAAAAGGCAGGAGATGGAAACGCACTCACCCTGAAGCCCATGGGGGGTTTGGTGGTTTTTAGGGACTGTGTGTGCTTTGGGCTGTAGAGAGACCTGCTGGCGCAGGTCAGGCTTCGGAAAACCTCTTCTGGAACAAATCTGTGCTCCCGGGGGGGAAGAACAGGCCTGATGCGGTCAAGCATCTTTGAGTTGCCCCCCAGCTTGGGGATCTCTGGAAAACAGCACGTCAGAACCATTTCAACAGCATTTATTCTGCTGGTGAAAGAGAAAGCAAAAGCGATGATAAAATACAGGGCTGAGAAAAGCCGTGACGAGGTGTTTACTCCCTTATCCCAAAGCAGGATCAACTCCGTCTAAAACACAGGCAGCTAATCCCATTTTTAGCAGTTGTTAGATCTTCGGTGAAGCCTAGAACAACAGTTACCTCCTGACTACAGGAGATAAAGCACTAGTTGCACAACTGTGCCAAGCTGCCAGCTACGCAGATGCCAAGGGATGCTGTAACCAGCTAAAGTTCACGTGTTTCTGTAAAGCCATTTCCCTTCCGATGGATTGCCAGCAGTTGGCTTTCTGCAAAGAAATTAACACCCTAAAATTCCAGTAATTGCCTAACTAATGCAGAGAAACACCCTGCTGTTAAAGAGGAGCTGGAAGGATGGAGAACCAGATGTACGACCCTACCTGGCCGGTCCTCAGCTTTTGGTCCAGGAGCTGGCACTCCCCTTCTGGGCATGCTGAAGCCTTGTTTTATTTTAAGGCTTTGCCAAGGAAACACGGACTAATGGATGGATCTAGAAAGAGAACGAAACCTGAACTTGTACTTCACAAGGTTAACAGAGTGGTTGGTTTTTTTTTTTATTATTTATTGTGAAGAAAAGCCCCTTATGCCGGACAGCAGGTTATCTCAGTTCGGAAGAAGCTTCTCAGTGTTTGCTACATCCTCCACAGGGGTGTTTGTTTTTCCATCTACAAACCCCACTAAGCACAACTGCTTCTTTTATACATTTAACTGGTCCAGATATTTAATTGTATGTCTCCAATTATTAATCGCCCTATCACACACACATCCAGCAGCTGAGCAAGAGCAAAACATTTTTCACTTCTCAGCACCATTAAGCATCGCTTATTTACAAAGAAGTGTAAGGCTATTCCCTGCTAAGTCTATTAAAGCCAGAAGAGCTTCTTTTCTTAATCACGGATCACAGAGCATCCCAGTGAGACTGGCATCCTTGGGAAGGATAGTTCCAAGAATGGCTCATTTAGCAACTCTTTTCTTTATTATGTGCAAGACATCTTTCCCTTGAACTTCTCCAGCCTGGTTTGTTCAGGCAGCACAGCCACTTACCATTAAAAAAAAAGACCAAGGGAGAGATCTAGCTCCACGTTCCCAGCTCTAAAGTCTTTCCATCACCCTGGGCTCTTTATCCCTTCCTTTGCTTACCTTCCAGCGCCTGTCAAACTGACAGGGTGGTCTGTCAGGTGTCTGAACTTGCTCCGACGATTAGGATAATGCCAAAGCCGATCTGGGGTTTGCAGGCAGCCCTGCAGACAAGGCACACGTGGCTGTCACTTCTCAGCGAGGAACAATGCCAAGGAGTGGGGAGAGGGCAGGGTGGCTGTCTAAACAAGCTCCGCATCGTTATTTCTGTCTTGGGGCTAGAGCAGCTGGTAGGGACACCACCACAGCCTCGGCAAGGGCTTCCCAGCAGCACCAGAGCAGGTTTTGCCACCCCTGGAAGGCAGCACTTTGGATCTGCGTCAAATAACGCCCTCAGAAAAGTGATACGATATAAGATAAAATTAATCTCACGAGGTCGGCAAACTTTTGCCCAGGGAACGAACAGACAATTCTGGAGAAGAAAAGGCAGGAGATGGAAACGCACTCACCCTGAAGCCCATGGGGGGTTTGGTGGTTTTTAGGGACTGTGTGTGCTTTGGGCTGTAGAGAGACCTGCTGGCGCAGGTCAGGCTTCGGAAAACCTCTTCTGGAACAAATCTGTGCTCCCGGGGGGGAAGAACAGGCCTGATGCGGTCAAGCATCTTTGAGTTGCCCCCCAGCTTGGGGATCTCTGGAAAACAGCACGTCAGAACCATTTCAACAGCATTTATTCTGCTGGTGAAAGAGAAAGCAAAAGCGATGATAAAATACAGGGCTGAGAAAAGCCGTGACGAGGTGTTTACTCCCTTATCCCAAAGCAGGATCAACTCCGTCTAAAACACAGGCAGCTAATCCCATTTTTAGCAGTTGTTAGATCTTCGGTGAAGCCTAGAACAACAGTTACCTCCTGACTACAGGAGATAAAGCACTAGTTGCACAACTGTGCCAAGCTGCCAGCTACGCAGATGCCAAGGGATGCTGTAACCAGCTAAAGTTCACGTGTTTCTGTAAAGCCATTTCCCTTCCGATGGATTGCCAGCAGTTGGCTTTCTGCAAAGAAATTAACACCCTAAAATTCCAGTAATTGCCTAACTAATGCAGAGAAACACCCTGCTGTTAAAGAGGAGCTGGAAGGATGGAGAACCAGATGTACGACCCTACCTGGCCGGTCCTCAGCTTTTGGTCCAGGAGCTGGCACTCCCCTTCTGGGCATGCTGAAGCCTTGTTTTATTTTAAGGCTTTGCCAAGGAAACACGGACTAATGGATGGATCTAGAAAGAGAACGAAACCTGAACTTGTACTTCACAAGGTTAACAGAGTGGTTGGTCTTTTTTTTTATTATTTATTGTGAAGAAAAGCCCCTTATGCCGGACAGCAGGTTATCTCAGTTCGGAAGAAGCTTCTCAGTGTTTGCTACATCCTCCACAGGGGTGTTTGTTTTTCCATCTACAAACCCCACTAAGCACAACTGCTTCTTTTATACATTTAACTGGTCCAGATATTTAATTGTATGTCTCCAATTATTAATCTTACCACTTGTTCTTCTAATGAAAAAAATATTTCCGTTAGCTTCATAATCTCCATGAATTCTCATCTGAAGCCTTTCACCCCTCCCCTAGCCTTGCCAATATATATTGTTGTTTATAAATGCTGTTTGTATTAGAACTTGTTGACCTCCTTATCAGTTGTTATCCTTGTTCCAATTAGGTTAATGACATTTCTTTGCCTTCAGATACACAGTTGTGGGTGTAGGTATAATCTAGGAGTAATCCTGCCAGGTAGTTTCTTGTCTTGCTGCATAAATGGTTTTTCTTGTGAAGAAAACATAAACATTCATTAAATTCTTTTTTTTTTCCTTTAACAAGTCCGTTTGGCAGCACACAATATTCCTACCAGAGGGGATGGGAAGATTAATGACCCTGTTCTGCAGCGGCTGCAGTTTAAGGACACAGAGAAGACTCCACTTCGGCGCATGTGGTGCACAGCTGGTAAATATCACATTAAGTTCTTGGCACACAGACCCTTTTCAGGCCCAAAATAAAGGGAGAAACCATCAACATGATATACATTTGGCAGTTGCTCCAATTTAACATGCATTAAACTGGGAGAGGTTAGAAACTCGGGTCTGTTGCAAGACCTATAAAGTCTTTCCGCAGGCTCTTCTCCGGCTCTTCCAAGGATGTCCCCTCCTCCAGCAGAGGTGTGATGGCTGATACCCAGCTTATGAAACCCCAACTACCCTTCACAGCTGGTATTTAGCTCTGGCATTTCCTGATGGCTTTTTAGGACCTGAAGAAGGGCTTATGTAAAAGGTTCTTCCCACGCACCCAGCCATGGAGATCTCCTCCCCACCCTCCAGTGGTCTTGCCTGGTACCTCCAGGCTTGGGCCTGCCACCCCATCTCCATCCCTCTCCCCTCCCTGTCCTTGGAAAGGGGAAGACTTGAAGTCCCATCCAGGCAGGCTGGGAGGGGGCTGTGCCAGGGACATCCCCCCCATACCTGCTAGCCCTTACCTGCCGGAGGAGCTTCTCCATGGCTCCATCACCATGGAAACACAGGGCTTTCACCACAACACAGAGATGCCCCCCCAAAATCAGGAGCCGCAGAGAAGAAAGAGGCCAAGCCACTCTTTTTTTCTCCCCTAATAGCAAAATATATTTCAACTCCTGTAATACAGTAGATTATAAACAGCTCTTCTGCGTGACAGAACACGGTACAGGTTGGGTACAGGGAACCGCTGGTGCCAGGGCCCTGGCTCTGCTTGGGCACCCTCTCCCCTGCCACCACAGGTGAAGGGACAGCGATGGCTTCTCGGCCCTGGGTGCAGGGAGAAGAGAGGAGGGCCCTGGCTCTGCTTGGGCACCCTCTCCCCTGCCACCACAGGTGAAGGGACAGCGATGGCTTCTCGGCCCTGGGTGCAGGGAGTAGAGAGGAGGCTGAAGTGGGCTGGCTCGGAGGCACTGCGGGGAGCTGGTTTGGAGCCCTGGTGCTGCAGAGTGCACGGGATTCCTCACAGCTCAGGCTGGACCACCATCCTTCCAGCCCATCTACATTCAGAAGGCAGGAGCTCAAGCAGTTCAGGTTTCCTTTAGCGGGTCACATCAACCATGCCAGTTCATATTATAAAAAAAAACAACCAAACCAAAAACAACCAAACACATCATGACTTCCTCCTCTTCCCCCCCACGCCTTACTCAGAGTGCTGTCACGGGAGAGCACACCGTTGGCAGCTCAGAAGCAGCCTCACCCCTGAAGGCTGGAAGTGAAACAAACACATCATGACTTCCTCCTCTTCCCCCCGTGCCTTACTCAGAGTGCTGTCACAGGAGAGCACACCGTTGGCAGCTCAGAGGCAGGACTGCCCTCACCTCTGAAGGCTGGAAGTGAAATATCCCAACAGAAAGGAGGTACTAGGCATGAAGACTCTGCAGAGGTTCAGTCACCCTGAGAACAGTTATCTGCATGAAAACCAGGACACGTTTCACCATATTAATACTGATTTTCGTGATGTTGTTGAGCAAGGAGCTGCAGCTGTATTGGCTGCCATTCCAAAGCTTCCCACCTCAAAACTGAGGGAGTTACCATGGAAGCAAGCAAGCTGCACAATTCTTCCCTTGCAAAGAACCACAGGAAACAGTATATACTATTATTAAGAATTTGTAAAGGGGCAGGTTGTGAACCTCAGCATCCTCACTATTGTCCAGAACACCATACTGCTAGCTCTGGCACGCGCAGCCTAAGGAAACTCAAACAAACATGGTATAATTGACTCTAATTAAACAACCAATGTGCAAAAGACTTAGTATTTCCCCTCCAGTACTCTTGAGAAAAATTAAAATAAGCCCATGTTCAAAAGCAATTTAAAAAACCCATGAAATTTAAAGCACCCCCAATTATTAATGCCCGGACAGCACAGTTGCCAGATGCCTTGATCTACAAGGCTAAAAACCTCAGCTCGTCAAAAACCAAGACTAGTTCCAACAGCTGAGCATCCCTTACTGGTTGCCTTTTGCTTGCCAGATGCTCAAGCCCTGAGGCTTCAAACACTCAGGATGCTGACACAGTAAACACTGATGTTCTTTATGAGGAGTATAACAGTGCCAGCTGCGAGGGAAACACCAAAACTTGGCACAAAGTGCCATGATTTGATCTCCTTTTGAGAACACTGAGACAGTAGCAAGACCTGACACGGGCACCAGGAAGACAAATCAAGTCCCCAGACCATCACACCCCATCTGAGTGCAATTACAGGCGTACACAAGTGTTTTGAGCACCACGACTGAGAAGTACTGGACTGAATTTCATCCTACATTAAGGAGGTGACAAAGCTGTTTGGCCAAAGGCTGGGATGGTGTTGTTTGTTTTTTAAAAAAAGAGGAGGTTTAGTTGCCCCAGCCCTTCTGTCCCTTCCTCTCACAAAAGGTACAGTGAAAGATTTAGGATTAATCAAACTGAACGAGAAGAAAGAAACCCATTGGATTCTCAGGATTTTTTATACTAATACTGCCAAGTTTCAGTATATACATTAAATCCTTCCTTTGAAATTAACGTAACCATTTCAACACACGAGTCCCAGTAGGAGATATTTTAGAGGAGAGCCTCATATGCAAATGTATTTGGCAAATTTGACCTGACACCATGTCCTATCTGAAGAGCCAGATCCCTTCTTACAGGAAACCAAAGACCTGGAAGACTGTAAGTATCACCTGGCTTTCACGAAGTTACTTGTGACTCGGGTTAGTAAAAATAGAAGCCCAAAACAAAAAAACACAGTTTTAAGTGGACTGGGAGACAAGTCCATCAACAGCCCCAATACTGCTGGTACCCAATACCTAGGGCTGTGGGTCCGTAAGGAAAAGCTGTTACTGAAAAGTGCATTGAAAAAGTGAACATTTGAGTAATTCAGAAATCCCTGTGACCAAAGTTAAGGTACCTCCGTCCGGTCACCCTCTCTCTCTCCAATAACAGGAGGTGCAGTCCCAGTAAAACTGTAGAAATACATACCCACATACTGTGTAAGTTCCCTTTTGTGCTCAGCATCTGGCAGAACAAGAAAACTGAAGAGACTCTGCCTAATTAATAGATATTGAAACACCAAGGTCACATAACGCATCTCCCTTCAGCAGTGTGTGTGGGAGGATGTCCTACCTCTCCAGAAAGAGGAGGGAAATGCCTAGGAAGCTGGTTTTCAATTAAGTCCCCACCAACATAAGAGCAGACACAGGTAGATGAAGAAGATGAAGGAGCTCTGACTCCAACCACTGCATCAACCCTCATCTCCCACCAACAGTGGCAGAAGCTGCTCCAACACACGTGGGTGAGAGGCTCTGAGATGTTGAGCTGGATGTAGCCATCTCAGATGAGAATGCACTACCTATTTGTAAAGCTGATTGCATTTTCTTACAGTTGGGCCATAGCACTTCAGACCTTTCACACTAAAGAAAGCCTTAACAACTTGTACACCTTAAAGCAAAAGCTCCATCACAAGTTAACTGTGTTAAAAGAATTGATTATTTGGAGCAAGAGAAAGGAAACGCTAGAAGCAAAACTATTCCCCAAGTCACAAAGGCCTTCAGAGAACAAAAAATGCTTTAAGTCAGTTGGGAACTTAATGAATACAGAGAAAATATTAATTTTCAGTGTAGAAGGTCAAATAAAGACTGCACACACTGTGCCCTGCTTCCAAACCCGATTCTCCAATGCAGCCACAAGTAAACTGATAATCCTCTCTTCCTCTGCCCATTTTAAATCTGTAGGCAGCCAACAGAGATAGAATGCAGTTCAAAGCCATCCAGGAATACTTTGGCTATTTTCAGAGCAAGGAGGCAAATACCCTGTGTTGCTCTACCACTTGTCTGGGTCCTAGCAGCAGACAGGATCACAAAGAAGAGAAGTTTTGCAGATATCCCATTACCAAAAGGGAGAAAAAAAAAAAAAAGGGGATTGCAAAGGGGTGGCCAAGGAAGATGGACGGACGCCAACAATGAGCTACTAGCAAATCTGACTATCTACTGTCCAGAAGAGCAGCAACTTGGGGGACCTCTGGATGAGTAAGATTCCAGTAGACTCCACCATCAGCTCAATGCTTTACTGGCAGGAGAATGGCTCAAAGTGGGACAGCATGTAGTAACTGCTGCCTATGAAGCCTGGTGCAATCCAGGTCAACTGGTTTGCCTCAGTAATGTTTAAAAAAAATTTACAGTTTCTCCCCAATAATCAGGAGGCACAACTTCCCTTAGAAGAAGTCCATAGTGAGTTAGGTCATGGGTCCAAATACTTGGAGGACAATTCTCATCTTCTGCGACGATGATGTGGCTGGAGCATACCATTTCTACATCTTCATATGACACGACCATGAGCGTGGTTTTAAGTAGTCCAGGAACGTGGGCTGCAAAACATGGAGGAGCAGTACGTCAGTCACAGGCAAACAGCACCAGCTGTGGTGTGCTCTGCTGAAGTCAAACCTCCCCAACAGGAAAGATCAAACCGCATTTTCACATCCTGCAACCCTACTCTTATCCTCACAAATCATCACGTAGAAGCGTAGCTACAGTCACAACAAGTTGTTTGCCTGCTATCCAACTTCTCCCTAGTTGTGACAGATCAGCTCAATGCTGGTTTTAGTAGCATACTGTATCAAGAAGCCAGTCATTTACAGTGGCAAACTCTTAAGTGAGGAGAACCAAACTTAAAATAGAGTTTGCCTGAGGACAGTTTTGGTTAAAACTGAAATCAGCTAGGACAGCAAGAACTTTTATGTAGTACAGAATCCAATATCAAGAAAATTAGTTCTAAATCGGAAAGTAATACCCACAAATCAAACTGACCATTTATAACCAATTCTCACTGCCACCCACTCTAGCCTGGGAAAGGCACAATAGGCTCTGTTTTTGTGGGCCTCCCAGAAGTGTTTCTCCTGACCTCCTTGGCCACATGCTGCAGTTCCATTCATGCAGCCTGAATGGCCCAGCATACTCTCAAGTAGTGGCTTATGTCCTCAGAGATGTGGGATAAACACCCCCATTTTCCAGTAGTGGAATACCATCAGCATAGAAAGAGCACTAGTGAAAGCACTTTTTGTTCAAAAAAGCTTTCCTAGATGGTCTACAGTTTCTAGGCTAAATAACTGCTAATGAAGAGCACACTGCCAGAAAGGCTCGTGCCATTTAACATCTGGCCTGTCCCCACAGCAAGAAAGGACAGTGACCCCACAGGAAAAGGTCAGTCACTCACATCTTCCATAGGGCAGTACTGGCGGGCGTACCACTCCTGGCTGTAGAGACAGATGATGACACCTTGGCCCAGGAAAAGGGAAGTCCACATGATCACATTCCAGATGGGCCCTTTCCGACGGTCATTAAGGATGAAGTTGAAGACCACTGGGAAGAGATGAAACAAAAAGCCTCGTTCAGAAACAAACTCAGGATTAAAGAATCAAAGATCCACTGGTTTCACTGGATCTTTCCCTCTCTTCACTTAATCTCTGAAGCAACAAGGCTGCTCTGTGAGGCCAGTAAAGCGCAAGAAAATCTGGTTATGCTCAGCAGCAAAGCAAATACTAAGAGATGATTCTGACATTTACTTCCAATAAGTTTTTCAACAGGCTGGCCCAGCTTACAATATTGTTTGTGTTACGCTAGTGACCATGACATGCTGGCAGAGGTGGCCTAGAGCTTATCAGAGCCCTCTAACTTATTCTAGCTCAAAGCCCAAAATGAAATGCAAGAGCTTTAACTTCTAAATGGGCTCTGCTCCTCACTGCAGCAGTAATGTAATACCTGTCTCACATTATGACTTTAAAGAGGAAGACTTCCAACTTGCTGACATACAGCAATTCATCTACAGCTTGGCAAACAGGAAGCAGTGCTATTAAAATACATACAGTGTGTCATGAATGTCATGAACAGCAGTACATATATGTATGTATAGCTCTCCCTCCCCACCCATACCTTGCTCATCTGAGTCCCAAGCTTGCAAACCCACCGTGTGTATACAGATATCTACTGAGGTACTTGGCTGCAAAAATCCATTCACAAAGTTTGGACCCACAATTGCAACTTTTGGACAAGAAACAGTTCTGTGTGTTAGTGCCTAGAGGATAACTGGCACCAGTATCAGAAGAGCAAAGCAGGTTTGTTTGAATTAAAAAAATAAACCCAAAACGACAAACCCCACAACTCATTCACAGACTCTCTCCTGGGAACTTACTTCCAAAGCACATAAACAGGAAAAAGAGAACTGGATAAAAGAAGCCGAAGCAGATGCTCAGAACATATTCGTGTACAGCAGCTGATACTGTGAAGACAGACAGCATAGCTGCTGCTCTGAACTTCTTACCAAAAAACTGGAAGAGAGAAGAATACAAAAGTATTACAAGCTATTCTGCTGTGGTTTTAGTTTTATTGTGTCAACATTGTTAGCTATTCTGCTGTGGTTTTAGTTTTATTGTTTCAACATTGTTTTGTTGGTTTTTTTTCTTCTTAAAACCTCAGCTAAGAAGGGCCTCCTCCAGGTATAATGAAATGCTAAGTTCTTTACAGACCACCTTGGATTTTAGGTGTTGTTCTTCAGGCATGTTTCTGGCATTCTGCATTAGTACTCAGGTTGAGCCCACTCATGAAATATCTACAACAGCCCATCAAAATAGTGCAACATCAGCTCATATTACTGAGTCAATCCTTACACTCTTACATCTCAGACCCACGTTTTATGCCTATTAAGGACTTGGAAATGAGCAACAGATCTCTAAAAACCACAGTGGCTACCCACAACAGCTGAGGCAAGACATTTTTGTGCTTCTCAATGGACAGTGACGCTGCATCTTGTCAAATGTACTGTCTTGCTCAGTGGTTAAATGTTCAGTTAACAAGAAGAATACACCTGCTTGTTACTCACCCAAAGGAAGTCCCTGTAGGCATAGTAATAAAGCCAGTCATGGACTACCACGTTCCAGGTCCGGTAGTAGTTTGCATAGGAAGTGGAATTCCACCAGTCCTGAAAGCATAGTTGAAAGAGTATAAATCAAATCAAGCATAAAACATTCTACAAGTCTTTCCTGGGATATCAAGTTGAAAAATTTTGATCAGAATAATACCAAGCTAATACAGCAAGTTGCACCACAAAAACGATCAGAGGGCTGGAGCACCTCTCCTATGAAGACAGGCTGAGAGAGTTGGGATTGTTCAGCCTGGAGAGAAGGCTCCAGGGAGGGAGACCTTACAACAGCCTTCCAGTACCTGAAGGGGGCTACCAGAGAGATGGGGAGGGACTCTTTATTGGGGAATGTAGCAATTGGACAAGGGGTAATGGTTTTAAATTGAAAGAGGGGAGATTTAAATTAGATACTAGAAACAAATTTTTTTCCTGTGAGGGTGGTGAGACGCTGGAACAGGTTCCCCAGAGAAGTTGTGCATTCCCCTTCCCTGGAGGTGTTCAAAACCAGGCTGGACGGGGCTTTGAGCAACCTGCTCTAGTGGAGGTGTCAATGCCCATGGTAGGGGGGTTGGAACTTGATCTTTAAGGTGGTCCCTTCCAACCCAAACCTTTCTATGATTCTACAAAATAATGCATTCCATTGCTTCCAACCCAAACCATTCTATGGTTCTACGAAATAATGCATTCCATTGTACTTTCAACATTCTACTCTGTAGATCAAAATTTGGTTTTATTCCAAACCGTACTGGCTGCGATGATAAAAGGAGAAAAAAAAAAAGAGTGTTAGCTGTTACTGGATGGGTCTGGTGGCTGGTTCTGTTGTGCACAGGGTATATTACCTTAAGAACAATTCAAACTGCCAAATAGAAATCAGATCTGTTCTCCAGCACAGCAACAAACTTAAGCCCTAACAGCATAAAACAAGCAAAACCCTGCAGATGCTTTTGGAAAAACAACCTTCAGTTTCCTCATCTTTCCTTTTCGTTAGGAATATTAATTTTGAAGCTTATAAAGCTTGTGTGATGAAGTGTAACTCCTGTTTCTTACCTTGTAGAACATCCTATCTGCGAAGCGGAGCATCTCAGCAAATGCATTAAGCCAACAGTGAAGGAATGCAAAGAAAACCAGGAAGAGAATCAGGACACCTAGAAACAAGGTAGATTCAGACTGGTTTTGTAGTGATTTCTCTTAGCTATAAGCACGAGCAAGTAACACAGACAAGACTGTTCTTATAGCTGACACAGATGAGCTTTCTGCTGCCATTTCATTTTCTCACACCAGGCCATGGTTACCCCAGAGGGAAACAGCAATGTTGCTACAGAGCCTAGAATTTTGAAGACAGTTAAATGCAAACCCAAGCTCTTATTTTGTGCTGCTGACTCTAAAGTTTAACACCATAACACCAAAGTCTGCCCACAAGACCTTCTCTGCTGATCTTTGCTGTCACTAATGCATTTCATATGAAGCACTTCCCCCTCCCTTCCACCTCTTCCAGAAAGATACACTCATGAATCCGGGTCTTACCTGGCAGAATGGAATTGAAGATACAGAGGACCAGCCCTCGAAGATTGAAGGTTTCTTGACTACTGTTATGAAACAGAGGAATGCAGAGTCTCACAAAGATGTAGTAGGCATAGAAAAGTGAGCCAAGCACCTGGAACAAGGAAAAAAAACCCCTCTGAGTCCATAAGAGAAACACACAATTAGCACATCACCACTTGACAGCTCCAGGAGAGGAACAGCAGCTGCCAACACAAGTCACAATAATTTATTTCACATTGCTGCTAATAAAATTCCCTAAGGGTCCAGGAAGAAAGTAAGCCACAGCCATCTCTGCAGCACATTGACAGCCAGGAGCAAAACCAACTTGTCTTTTCAACTGCAGCAGCTGTAAGTTTCTCCTAGTCCTATCAACTCAGAAGTCACGACACACAAGATTTGTACCGGTGCCAAAGTAAGTGGAGAAAGTACCCTGTGATCTAGGTCCAAGACAAGGGCAGAAATAATTGAAAAATACTTACTGTAGTTAAATTTAATATTAAAGCTTACTTTTCTTTTATCCCAAAGGAGATGTTTCTAGGCCAAACCACCTCAGGCCTTCTTTGGCCATGGGTTCTGGAAGTTGAGGTCAAAATGCAAGTCACTGCTTTAAATACTCTGAGTGCTCTAAGCCAGGTGTGTGCTTTATCACCTTCTTCTGTCAAAGAGCAAGCCTTTTCATGCTTTGTTTTTTTGTCTTTTGTTGTTGTTATTTGTTTTTTAAATTGTTTCATTTTTTAAACCATGAATGCATTGTGTGCAGTAAAAGTTTCAATCATGCAAAACTTGGAAACACATCCACAAGAAGCAATTGAAGCTCACATCCAGCCAACGTGAAAAATCAGGTCAACCTCAAGCTCAAATAAGCACGGAATGTTTGGACCCCAGACCTAATTAATTCAAAATTGGTCTGAATATCTGTAGGCAGGAAGCTGTGCCAGTGACTACAATACAGTTTCAGTGTAAAGAAAGAGGGACAGAGCATGGATATTGCTCTCTCCACAGACACATGCAGCTTTTGTTTGTATGGAATGAAGTCTAAAGGTTTGTTTAAGCAAGGATTACTTTTTTTAATTTGATACAAGCATTAGCGTAGCAAGATCACCATGTCTTCTTTTAGTCACTAAAAAGCACTCTTTTCTGGTAAGCCCACACCAAGTAAACAGTGATTTAATGGCACAGGGAGAACTGCTTAGCAACACAGTTTAGATGATCATTCTTCAGAAAGCTGCACTACTCACCTGTGCAAACTTGGTAGCTACATAGCCCCATCTTATCGTGGGATTCCTAGGAAAAAGAACACGTGATGTTATTCTAAATAGGGCCTCAAAACAGCAAAAAACCTCCCTTCAGTTTGCTTTACTGATCTATACTCTGAAAAAAAAAAAACATCCTGGTTTTAGTATTCTAGAGTTCTTAATCTCCTGACATCCAAGAGAAGTCTGCCCAAATTGTTGGTTCCTCAATTTCAACCTCAGCAGGAAAACTATGGCAATTCCATAAATGGAAAAGTATCTGGAGGACAACATTATGCAATTACATAGGAGGTGGTGATCTGCCCGATAGCCACGTCAAGGACTGCTGACTTGACACTGCCAAAGTGCAACCCAGCAACGCACAGAGAATTTTGGGAGTTCCCAGTTTTAAAGGCTTCAGCCTACCTCCTCATACTCAAGAGACAGGGCTGCTTATTAGCACCACATAAAACAACCCACAAGCCTATTGCAGGAACTGGGTGTCACTAGGTGTTCAGTAGCAAGTTCTTGATTGATTTCACTTCAAGTGGACTTCCCAAGGAAATAAAACCAGAACTGTAAATTCAAAACATCATTGGAGTTTTCACGATCAAGTCCTGTGCTTACCAGGTTACTGACTTAACCACGTCTATATGAAAGCTCTAATTCATAAATTGAATAGATCACATTCAGGGATGTTTAACATTCACTTCAGTTTTCAGACTAATGCTTTTTTTTATCCCTTACCTGGGATAGTTGTCTCTGTAGATGAGGGTGGGAGCAAAGAGGAAGTACAGGTATTGAGAAATTCTGGGAATAGGTACTGTGCCTGGAAAAGGGGGAGATAAAAATGAACACTCTGCAATCTTTCTGCTTACTGAAGTTTTCAGTTTCCCCAGTACACTTTCACAACATACACTCCTCGGCACCTCAAAAAAACATCAGTCTGGAACTAAAGGTATGGGATCTGCAGGGAATAAACCAAACTAGACATACGAGACGGAATTGCCCCCCCCCCCCAAAGCATAGTTAATGAGTGAGGGTGACTAATAGGTACTGCAGTGCTAACACTGCTAATGATATCACATTTCCTTTCCTTCTAGGGAAGATGAAGCTAAAGACCTGTACTAACACTGGGTTAATGTTCAGCTCTCACATGCCTTGCTGAAAGAGCTTCTGTGCTTTTAAAATTGCTCTCATTTCAACTAGAGCACTGAACTGAGAGGGGTGTAAACAGCCTCTGCACACCTTTTTCTCTGAAAAGCAGAAATAAGGAGTCTCGTTGAAGCAAGACTTAAGACACAGAGATGACTTCAACCTAGACAACAGTCTAGTTCATTGCTTATTATCAAGTAAGAAGGTTCAGGCATCAGGAAATTATGATGCAGAAGGTCAGCCTAGAACCTCATCACCTGCCCAAAGTCACCTACAGAAATCCTACCTCTCCAATTCATGAGGGCAGCTGAAAGCAATGGAGGGAAAACAAAAGATGGTTATGCACTGCTGTCAAAAAAAGTAGGGCAAGATACTCACTGGATTTGTCCTTTACAGAGGACAGGACTCTGGGCACGTTCTCCCGGACAAATGAATGAGCCTTCATAACAAGACGAACCTGTAAAACCAAGAGTATCAGTTTAATACTCTCACTTTCCCAACTTCCCAATAAAGATCAGATCAAGCATATTAAGGCAACACCTTCAACATCTTGGTTTCTCTCCAATTTATCCCTTTTACAAGAAAAGGGCTGTTTCCTCTGCCCACAAGCCTGTTTAACTGACATGAATTTAAAACACTGCAAAGTGAAACATGCAGTAACAATCATGACTCGGGTGAGTCAAAACACATCCCACTTACACTCACAAGACCACAGCATATGCAGGGACTCCGAATTACGCTAGTAAGTCACTAATTAACATTGACTTAAAATACCCCTATCCATTTCAACAGGCCAGTATGTTTCAAAAATACTGAAACTGACTCCTTGAAGTTAGATGTGTTCTACAGCAATTACCAGTACATTAGAATAAGGTGGTGCCACACAGAAATAGCTCCTGAAGAACCAAAGGGAAGCCCAGACCAAAGTTAATTCTTCAACCATATACTCTCACATCCGGCCATCCTCGTTTTAACCTGATGGCCTGACCAGCTCCCCACACTTCCCTGCTTGCCCTAAAAAAGAAAATTCCACTTTCGATAAATTTCTGCACACAAGACAGACAGTCACTTCTTGAGAACAGAAAGAGAAACAGGAACCACTTGTTGACTATGTCCTTGGCTTTTTTTTTTAAAGGAGAAATGTTACAGCTTCCCATGCCCTAAAAAAGAAAATTCCACTTTCGATAAATTTCTGCACACAAGACAGACAGTCACTTCTTGAGAACAGAAAGAGAAACAGGAACCACTTGTTGACTATGTCCTTGGCTTTTTTTTTTAAAGGAGAAATGTTACAGCTTCCCAGTGAACTACAGCACAACAGGTTCTTAAATCGGTTTAAAGTGTTTAGCATCCACGAAACTACTAGAAATACATCAAATTTCAGCCTCAAAGTATGTTCAGGAAAAAAAAAACACAACACAGCAAAATCTTAAATACAAGATAAGTAAAACAAGCAGTTTCCAACTCAAAATGAAAATTACTATCTACTTTTTCTCATTACACTTGCTGCCTGTGTGTCAGTAAGTCAAAGAAAAACTCCATCCACAGCTCTGGATTAATTTAATGAATAAAACCACCACTTGGCTCCTTAGAAAAAAAAGGACCCTTTCCATTTTGAAAACAAGATTCAATATATCTGAAGACACACTGGATTAATTTAATGAATAAAAACACCACTTGGCTGCTTAGAAAAAAAAAGGACCCTTTCCATTTTGAAAACAAGATTCAATATATATTTGAAGACACTGGGTAGGGACCTACCTGTTCCAGTATTACAATAAAACGGGAAGCTGGAGGCAGGGCATATGTTATAGCGATATATGTTGGTCCAAATCCCAGCCCAGCTGTTTGGAAGAGCATGAACAACACCCCATAGAAGAGAGAGCGGATTCCACGATGGGAGGAACTGCTGTAGCCTTGGGCCCACCAGACAAAAAGGTTGTATGGGACAGTAACTGTGGCACAGAACATGCACAGCCAAGTACAGAAGACAACTGGGAACTTTCCAAAAACAAAGACCAAGAGATCAAATCCTAGGACCAGCCTAGAAGGACAAGGAAAGAGACAATATTCAGTGTCCATTATTTCATTAGAAATACTTCTATTCCACTAAGTGGCTACAAGATGCAAAACATATGCAAAGATCATAAATTGTTTGACAGTCTGGATAGAAGTTACTGTGGCAATTTTCAGCTCAGAAACAGAGGGTTGTCTGTGGCAGATTTAAGTGACCACCCACAAGCACATCAGAAAATAAGAGGTGAAGGACTCATGCCATCAGTGCTGTCAGGCACAGCTTACCTTCAAATCCCACAGGGCTTAAGCACATCTTTAAGATCAGCATGTGCTTTAAGAGCAGGCTCAAGCTCATCCCTGCTAAGAACAAGCACGTGACTAAGGGATGCACTGCTGGACCAGGGTCCAAAAGAGCTTTTGGGGAACACTCCCAAAACATCATCACTATTACATTAAGAATCAGTTCTTCCCAGGAGTTTAAAACACCTGAAGAGGCCTTTTCCCCACCTCTAGAGGCATGAGATTCTTTAACATCTAGCAGTCAAACCTAATTTAATTCTGCTTTGTGAAAACTGTAAGCATTCCACATGGATTCAGTTTACAAATCACCCCAAGGGCTTAGGGTCATTAGATGGTCAGTCCAAACATGTCCACGTGGTGCATACCACGTACTTTATTTCATTAATCAAGCTTAAAACATAGGGACATAAACAAAAGGATGTTCAACCTTACTGGCTATCAAAATCACTGGGGCTTACTCCTATACTTAAGCAGCTCGTCTAAACCAAGGTCAGAGCAGAAGGTAGTACAGAGTACACTAACACATCTTATTTGTTCTCCTGCTGAGGCTCAATTGTAAACTGGATCCAAATTATCAGATCTAGCTGAGAACATAACAATGACTTTTTTCTTTTTTTTTTTTTTTAAAGAAATCAGAGAATACAGCCCTATTAGTTAATTTTGGAGGTAAATACCTATTCTCCCCCAATGCCCATACACTGTTAAGTTAGGATAAACTAAACAATATTCAATAGTGCACGAGCCTGTTCTTATATCTAGACAAGAGGGATAATGATTCTAATCAAGATACAGCTCTAGTTTTGTAAACTAAAGATCAGATAATCAGCAAGATAAACATGTAATCCTACTTGTGTACATGGGATACAGCTTGCCAAAAAGATACTATTTAAAGCAACAAGCAAGTGTGAGGAAAACAGCCTTTCACAATCTTACTCACAACTACATAATCTTAACAGAGGCCATGCCAAGATCCTTGAGATTTTTTCCCCAGGAAAAACAAAAAGTTCTATTTTTATTTAAGCACAAGTACAGTGTTCCAGAACTGTCATTTTTAAACAGAGAAAGGATTGCTGAAGTATTTAAGTTTTTCTAAACACAATCCTCCTCCAAGCAGCTGAAAGCTACTGTTTCATTAAGATACTCAACTAAACACATTCAGTGGTGATCCCTCCCTTTTGCCAGCCTTGTGATGAACTAAACACGTTAGGCCCAAATGTGTCAGCCATAATTCTCATGGAATACACCAATCTGTAGGATTTCCCCAACATCTAGCTACCTGATTTGAAATGGCCATGTCCCCTCAACAGGAGTTCCAGCATGTATTTTAAGTATGTCAAGTTGACATACTTCCCACAACAACCCAAGGAAGGATTCCCTCCTTCTTTCTGCATTATTCTGCAGTTTGATGTACCCCTGGTGCTTTGGAAGAAAGGATTTCCCAGCCCTCCTCCCTGTCTTTCCAAAGCATTCTTACCTTCCTTCATCAATGAAGTCTACTAAAAGCGTGCTCAGGATGAAGACAATGAGAAGAGCGATGAACATGTGGTAGATCGTCCTGATGTGGCTCACTTCAAACAGTTCACTGCAGGAGAGATTCAAATGCTATCAGGCCATTGGCACAGCACATCACACCTCCAGCACGTTAGTTTTCACAGTGCTTCACAGTAAGATAAGATGACATCACTAACATCCCAATTCAATGGGCTGAAGGTAACACACAATTTGAGTGCCAGGCCACACAGACACTTACTCACTTTATCCACAAAGGGCAATTAGCCATTATCTTAGCTGTACTGAGAGGACTGTAATAAAGCTGGACATGAGCTTTGGTTTGTGCAGTTGCAGCCCAGAAGGCCAATCGCATCCTGGGCTGCATCAAAAGATGCGTTGCCAGCAGGTCCAGAGAGGTGATTCTGCCACTTTGCTCTGGTGAGACCTCACCTGGAGTATTGTGTGCAGGTCTGGAGCCCTCAATATAAGAAGGACATGGACCTGATGGAGCGGGTCCAGAGGAGGGCCACAAGGATGGTCAGGGGGATGGAGCACCTCTGCTACGAGGACAGGCTGAGGGAGCTGGGGTTGTTCAGCCTGAAGAAGAGGAGGCTCCGGGGAGACCTAATAGCGGCCTTCCAGTACCTGAAGGGAGCCTACAGGAAGGCTGGGGAGAACCTGTTTAGAAAGGCCTGCAGTGACAGGACGAGGGGCAATGGCTTCAAGCTGGAGGGGAACAGATTTAGACTGGAGATGAGGAGAGGGTTCTTCACTGTGAGGGTGGTGGAGCACTGGAACAGGTTGCCCAGGGAGGTGGTTGAGGCCCCATCCCTGGAGATATTCAAGGAGAGGCTCGACGAGGCCCTGGGCAACCTGGTCTAGTTGGGGGTGTCCCTGCTGACTGCGGGGAGGTCGGACTAGATGACCTTTGGAGGTCCCTTCCGGCCTGGGCAATTCTATGATTCTATGAAGGTTTACATTTGGGAAGCCTGCAAGCTGCAGGAGAGATGTTTTAGAAAGAAACAGAGGAGCTTAAATCCACAAGGGTTTCAACATAAGACCATGGGTATGTTTTAGAAAGAAACAGAGGAGCTTAAATGGATTAATCCACAAAGGTTTGAACACAAGACCATGGGGGGTGGTGGTGGTGAGAGTACTTCAAAGCAAAGGCCATTCAGTTTGCTATCAAGGGTATTTTCAGTAAATTTAATGGAAAATGTGTTCTTAAGTTACTCACTCCAAGAGGGACCTCCTGGCAGTAAAAATCTTCCCATGTTCTGGAGGGGCCCTCAGGGTCCTGCAAACAAAGAGGAGAACATATAAGACAAGAAAGGAAATAAGGCTTCCAGGAAACATAACCTTGTTATAGGAACACCTTAAAACTGACTTACTTGGCTTTGTGCAGCTCCTTCTCTGAGCAGGAAGCTGGGAAGAGAGAGGCTGGAGATGAGGAATCCAGGAGTGCTGATTTTGCCACCAAACTGTTCACAAACTCCGTGAAGTGACTGTCTACTTCCTTCATGAAAGCTGGCTTCAATTGCTGACAGAAAAAAACAGAGCAGAAAGTTGTTTAACTCTCTGGATACATTTTCATAAAATATTTATATTACTTTTTATCCCAGAGTAGGGCAGACCAAGGCATCAAGAAAACATTCTCGTACCATCTGCCAACAGCTGGAGCCAACTTGGACAAGATCAGGAGCTTATCCCAGCCCATTCATAAACCTCAGGCCAGAGGACTTTGAATAATGTTTATCTTCTCTATCAGATGCACCACAGAGGAGCAAAGTAAACATACTGATCTTTATATATATCTGCAGTGACAGGTATTTCACATATTTTATGGTGCCATGAAGGTTGAGCTAAGCTTAATAAGCCCCAGAAAATACTTCTCAATGTTAACCAGTTGCATCCTTAGTATATGAAGCAAGTACAAGAAGATTCACTTTTTAGTCTATCTAGTGTTATCGAGGGAAAAATGGACCTTTTCATGCTTGTGGCTCAGCAGTCACCACTGATGTTCTCATGCATTAAAGCAGAAGCAATCTCAATGACATGAGTGCAGGAAGAAGGACCAAGTTTACCCTTCCACTGCTACCACTGTTTGGATGAAAACTTTCATGTACCAGTGAAATTATAGGATGCACAGAAAATTTTGACTAAAACAACAAGACAGGGTAAAATTACTAAGCATTTAGACTGAGCAGCAAGAGGGACAAAAGCTGCAAGACTGAAGTTCAAGAATTCAGGGGATCAAATGTACCAGTTGAATTGCCTACACTCCCTTTTCTTCAGACAGCATTATACAGGCTGTCTTCTCTAGTACAGCCAGTGGTGACAAAGTTGCACTGTTTTTAGTGTATTCCTATTTTTCTTCTCTCATTTTATTAGACAAAGGCCACTTCTGGAGCTTCTGGTTTACTAGAGACCTTGACTTCTAAGGGTGCATGAAAAACCATCGATGAGCATCCCCCTTCTCTACCATCTTTTTGGAAAAATGCACTGATGCAGTACAAGAAAAAGGAGATAATCAGTTGTGGATAAAGCACAGGCCACCCTGGTCAAAGCCTGCTTGGTCCACCTGATGAAGAGTTTCTTTTCTGGAACAGAAAACATTACTTAACCCTCCCAATCATAAGCTACCCAGACAAGGACTATGATTCATCTTCAATAGGCAGATTGTAAAATGCTAAGATGGTTTTGTATTCCTTGTCCTGCATGAGGACTAGCATGTGTAATTCATTCCTGTATTTTCCTGTCTGCAATTTAGTTGAATCTGCTATTTAGGTTCATAACATAAGCTTTCAAAGACCTGATCTCCCACACCCTAGGCAGAGGTTTTAAAACCAGATGCATTTAGAATCACTTTGAACACTTTATTATTCAGTTTATTTCTCTGCAGAAAGTGCTACACTGAGCACTGGACAGGTCTTTGCTGTGGTGCAAGTTCTCTTCCTCTTTATATGCAGAGAAGATGCTGAGATTTGCACAGTGGCGTAAGCGTTATTCTTATGACTAGAAAAAAAAGTAGGCAAAATAAATTTCCTCAAGGAAAGAAAAAGGCAACATGCGTCCACTGTATTTCAGTGAGAACTTTGGGAACCGAAGGCCTAAAGATCCTAAGATCTCTGGCACTTCAGAAGACTTCTGAAAACTTCATTCCTTAACATCCAGTCCACCAGACACCAAATGGTTTTGCCAATACTTGAGCCTAGTGATGAAGCATGGCTGAAAGCCAACATCCAGGTTCCTAAATCAGTAGCTTTTTTAGAATGCTCTGCTAGATAGCCATCACCTTCAGCACAGGAGACTGGCAAGTTTCAAGAAATTATTTCAAATCTAATTGCATGCTGTATTTTGCTTTTTTATGCAAATGTCTATCAGCAACATTTGTCTGACCATCCTTATGCCCAGGATTTTTCAAGTTTGCCTCCAGATTCAAGGCCCAAGTCTTCCTACATGGTAACTACATATTATTCCATCTAGTCTTCCTACTGATCAGCTGCTTAAGAAACACATATGTTTCCCTGACCACCTTCAGAATTCCCAGCTACTACCTACTTTCTAATCTTGAAAGTTGAAAAGTAACAAGACCAAGAAATCCATTTTCAAGGAGGGAAAGATGGATCCTAGAAGCTGTGCACAAAAACAATGCTTCCTCAAAAAAGCATTTGTGACACTTGAGCTTATTTGTCAGTAGGCGTTTATGTTTCAGTGCCTATTATGCTACAGAAAGCTGGAGCAGCATTGTTTTTGCTAAAAAGGAACAGGCACAAGGTCAAGGTGCATCAGAACTCTACATTCCTCTTGTTTCAGTGGTCAGATCCAGAGGGATCTCTTGGAAACAGAGGCTGCAGTAGGGGAAGGAGCAGATTAATATTTAACTTAATAAAAACATTTTTCCTCTATTTGGCAAGCTGCCAGCCCAGAATAAACAAGCTTCACCAATGCTTAATGAAAAAGCAACTCTTAAGAGCTGGCTGCTCTGGGGTATCGCTTTTCTGGGAGGCATAGAAGACTGTCGCTTGCAGAGGTGTGGATTTGTTCCTTTAAAAACAGGAAAAACAAAAAGTTAATTGAGTACTTTGGAACTACAACCTGCAACAGAAGACACCAGTGCTCTCTGGCACAGCCTGTTTTTACAGCATATGTGCACATACCACTACCAAAAAAAAGTCAAATTTCTGCTCCTCTTGGAGAGGTCAAATTTCCATGCCAAACAAAGCACTACTCATTCCTACCAAAACTTGTCATTTTGTTTAAAGTCTCTCCCCTTCTTATGCTGAAAAGAGATTGGGCTGAAAAGTTTAACAGAAATTATTTCTTTAAACTACCTCTTCCCCTTCACAGTTAGCACTCTGCTGAGTTTGCCTCCTAATAGAACCCTCCAGGGCTGGCATCAACTTATGCATGTGTTTGGATCTGAAGAGCAGGGTGGGAGTTCTTGTTAGACTAAATAAAATACGATATATCCAAAGCATAGACCTTACAGTAATTGTAATTCTGTGCAACAAAACTCCACAACACATTGTGCTATATTATCAACTATTACTACTGCCATTCGAGGGGCGATCTACTTGAGGAATTGCCAGGGTAACTACGAGTGCTCAAATAAGCCAAGTGCATTCCACCCAATCACTAAAGAAATAAAACATAAGAAAATGCACCTCCCCACCAGTCTTTGGTAAGACAGGGCACGGATACACAGATGGCCTTCTTGTAGCTTCCCCTAGAGATTACTTAACTAAGAGTTTGCTGAAGTACACTTGAAGTCCCAGACAAGGAACTGGGCAGGTGACTCGGCTGTCACCATTAAGTTTCAAACAAAAGAAGCAAGCCATTACAAAAAAGAGAAAGTGGGGCAAGTATGAAAAGAATGCTGGCCAAGAATGGGTGAGAAGTTGAAGAAAGTTGAGGGAAGTAACCCTGTAGCTTACTTATAAAGAGAAAGTTGCGAAACTTCCCCAAGATTTTTACTCATTCTAACAGATTTAGTAACTTCAGTCATTGAAACATGACATCCAGTCCTGACCAAATGACAGCACACACCATTCTCAACTCAGAACAAAGGACTAAATTTTCAGACTGGACTGTAGATGCATGAAGTAACACCTAGCATCTATAAATCCGGGGGAGTTGTCAGTGACCAGCACTTTTCAGAAGTCAAACACCTGTCTAAACCTCAGACACCTATCATCTAAAAAGCAAATTGCAATCCAAGCTTTTTGTTCAGTGGTTTTCACAAAAGGGCCAGGCACTCCAGGAATTCTCAGAAATTTTGCAGTAGATGGAGGTTTTTACTTAGCCTTATAGCTATTATTGTAGCTTTGAGGAACCTTAAACAAATTTTCGAGCTGCTTAACCCAGGGTTTAAAACCTTAACTCCCCCTGTTTTGGGAGAAACTTCAGTAATAAGAGTGCCACTGCTGGTTTCTTCAATTCCCTTTGCAGATAAGAAATCACTTTTTCTATGAACTAGCGTGTAACCCAGGATTTAAAACCTTAACTCCCCCTGTTTTGGGAGAAACTTCAGTAATAAGAGTGCCACTGCTGGTTTCTTCAATTCCCTTTGCAGATAAGAAATCACTTTTTCTATGAGCTAGCGTGTCTCAAAGCTGGTGGTGAGAAAAAAAAAAAGAAAAAAAGAAAAAAGAAACAAGAGATATTCCTGAAGAAAGAAATCCAAGTTCAAGTTTCCCCCTTGCAACCAACTAGTGCTCCCTGGAAGTTGCAAAGCTGCATGTGCTTAACAGTCAAAGCTTTCTTGTGTGAGCATCTGTTGCCAACGTAGTAATTTGCAGTGGCTGTTTTGTCTGCTGAGAAAAGACACAAGCCTTGCTTTAACATGTCCTCAGTAAGAATTGTTCAGAGAAGACATGAAATAAAATTCAGAGCTCCATATCCATTTAACAGTCAGTTTTAGGAGTATCAGCACAAAAAACAGTACACCCTCTCCAGCAGACATTTAAATACGCTTTAGTTATATCTGTTATAAATTACACACCGCCTATAAGAGGTGAAAAAAAGACTTTAAAAGAGGAAAACATCTCAAAGGTGCGAGATATTTTTCTCAGTCTTATAAGTATCCACTCCCTAATATTCACATAAGGGTGGCACAATTAGATTACTTCATCTTTACCATGGAATTCTCTGCAATAACATGAAGCAAGAGTGCAGGACAATTTTCCCTGCAGAACAGGCATGCTACAAAACAATGGTTTACAAGGAGGGTGCAGCTCATTGTTAGCTAACTTCATTCAATTTGGGCATAAATCACCTTAACATAAGCTAAGACAATGGCAGCTCACACACAGATGTAGCCGATGGTAGAAACACACAGTGCTGTTTCTTTGAGGCTATTGCTCACTGACAAAAAGAGTGTGACCAAGGGCCAGGAATGTCACACAGCCAGGACAACAGAAGCTCTGGGATACAGGTTATATGCTACTCTTTATTCAACATATAGCAGGACACAGCATTTTAAAGACTAAATACGCAAGGACACTAGCTGATAATTAATGGTGAGAGAAGTTCCATTTTTATTTACAGGCCTCAAAGTTCATTCTTATCTTTGGACTTCACCCTATTGGGGTCAAATAAGACAGAAGTGCATTTGATAATACTACCTCTCCCGTGCAAAGTCAGAAGAGAGGGCGGGCTGTACAGAAGTCACAGCATTCAAGCTGTGGCTAAAGAGGGATATTTGTGTTCCAGGACAAGTGACTCTCCAGAAGACATTCAGGGTCAGTTATCCCCCTCCTCCCCAGCCCCGAGCGTTAGAGTATATTTACCTCAGCTTCTGCTATTAGCTGCATTTTCCTTGTTATCACATGGTCAACATCGACCCGCCCTAAGGAAGGAAAGCAAATATTTAACAGTTGCATTTTCAGTCATTCAAGCTGCACATCGGAAAACACAGAAAGCACAACATATGATAGCTCAGTCAGTGATTTTTTTGTTAGCCCTTGTGACTCCTAACAAGGTCCCAGTAAATCCAAAATTGAACTGCAGGAAATTCATAAGCTATGACCAAGTATTTTAAACAGCCACTTCGAATCACAGCACTATAAAGCAGTCAATAGCTGATAACATGCTGGATTTTCGAAAGCTTTATTTTCCATCAGCAACTCTGCAAATCTTCCCAAGGTCCCTAAACGTATTCAGCCTTGAAGCAGTGATTAGAACAACCCTTAGAAGGTCATATCCATGCGTGCTGATCTTTTATCAAAGCTTTATCTTAGGCACAGTGAACTAGACATAAGATTAGCTTGTCTGGAGGCCTCTACACTGCCAATAGACAAGGCAGTCAAGTCACAACTCTGTAAAATAACGTAACCAGCTCTCAAGACAGGTTAAGTGGCAAACTGGAAGGTTATTCTATATTCAAACCTGGCTACTCCCACTCCTTTCATCCCCAAGGAGAAGTGTTAGGCATCAGTCTCACTGTATGCCTCAATATGTTTCATTGCTTAAGCAAACAGTCAGGTCTAACCATGCCATGAATATCATCTGACTTTTATCGTTACTAATACTATTGGCTCATATGTAAAGCTCAAATATCACCTTTTTTTTGCATAAAGAACTTTACACATCTGAGATGCCTCTATTACATCAAGCGGAACATAAACAAATCAAACATTTAAGACTAGTTGAGCTTTAAGACAAAGTTTGTCTGCAACGGTTGTAGAGTGCTGGCAAGACAGCTGGTGTTTCACTTCTCCATTAAGAACTACAACACAGAAGATAAAAGTTACTTAAAACAGATAGTCAGGCATACGAAGAGAAAGCAAGATTAAAGCAGCAATATCCAGCCCACTAAAATACTAGCCAGTGTGAAAAGACAGCAACAAACCTTGCCTTGTGTGTGTACTTTGGCAATTATAGCCACAACAGTACTTTACACAGTAATGTGTAAAATGCCTGCGTAACAGACATTACAACTTGCCTGTTCAGTATCTAAAACAACATTACCACTTTTATTAAAAAGGGGGGTACTTAATTGATCTCTAGTAATGTTTCCAGTGAAGCCTGAGCTAACAGATTTGCAGGAGAGGTGTCAATATTGTGCTGCTGTGTAATAAGAAGGAAGATTCATAGCAATCTGCCCCCTGTACGTGCACAGCCTATGCACACAAAACACACTGGGTGTTGTTTTAATAGAAGCAAGTGCTTCTCTGATGCATGCTAGTCTGAGGGTGCAATCAGTTTTAAGAAGTTTGAGATTACTCCAACTGCAATACTGGAAAAGAGTTAAATAAAATAAGAGACTGTCTTCAACACAGCTATGCTCAGTTGTTAGCATTAGTTCTGCACACACACACACCCCCAAAACAAGCAGCAAGATCCAGTTTTGTCTATAAGAACTGCTACACAAGCAGTTAAGAACAGACCAGCAACAACAGCCTATTACTTAGCAGCCTTGTAATGCAACAAACAAGGAAACTGTTTAATATCATGAATTTTTGGCTGCATGCAAGAACCCATTTTTACAAAAACAGAATTCCTGGTTGCTACGCATCTCACCTCCAAGACAAAAAAAAATTACCACAGCATTGAAGTTCATCATGCTGTTACACTTGCTGAACAGCTGCAGTTTGGAAAACAATTCCAGAGTAAGATACCACTAGAGAGTTCCTGTTCCCACTCAGCTTGTGCACTTTGCTGGTCTCAAATGGATCCCCCCACTCCTCCAATAAGTTTAAAAAAAAAAATCAAGTTGTTCCACAAGTAGAACCATATCCCTTTCACATCATCTCAATGTCTCTACTGTCTCACTGGCCACACCACAATCGTATTTGTAGTCCCCTCCCTCCATTGCTACTATGCTAAGAACCACCTTGTGCTTACCAGCTAGAAAGCAGTTGAGACACAACTTACCTTTTTCTGCAAAAAGGTTAAGAATTTGTGTCTCTTATCCAGCTGCACGCTTCAAGATTCTATCTAAAGTTTTCTTGAAGACATCCAATACAGCCAAAGAGGACAGGACATGAGACCTAGGGGATTGCACTATTTCCTTAGTAAGCTAAGCTAAAAATAAATAACCACTGCTTTGACCATGTTTTTCCTGTCAGATCTTGCATTCAAAGCTTCAGTTATTATAACTATCCAGGAGTGGCTCACTTTGGAAATAAAACACCCTTTTTGACTTTCAGGGCCTTGCAGATATCAAAAATACAGCTTTAATGGTCGTACAGGGAATCAGGCCAGTCTCTGGCCTGCTGATGTTGTAATTGCTAAAAGGTATGAACCAGCATTATTCACCCACACACCTGTGTGTCTGCACAGAGTACACTAGAAACACAGCATCTTTTAAAAGGCTTTAAAAAAAAATAATCAAGCTCTCCATTTCTTTAGTATATGCATCTCATAAAGCAAAGTAAAACCACCTGTAAGCTTGCTGCTTCTTTTCCAGAACAAAAAGCCTCCTGTAGAAGAAAACCCACTCCCAAACCATTCTGCTGTGTTACATGGCCCCATAAACTCAAGGTGCGTCACGAGGTAGATACCAGAGAACACAAACTCATCATCTTCTTGAATCACTCATCTTCTGTTGTGCAAGCTGCTACTTATGTTCTGTGAGGTCATTTGAGAAGAGAATCATCACATGATTTTGAGTCTAAAAGTAATTGTGCACTGCTGAGAAGTCCAAATCTTCATTCTCCTTTGACACTGAAAATGAAGACTGGTTCACTCTGTATCATTTGGGGATTGCAACATCATTTAAAAAGAAAAAAAAAAAGGGACTCAAGGTTGCACAATACAAGCAAGCACATCTCCGCATTTAAAACAAGATGGGATATGCCTTAAGAAAACAGAAAATTTATTTGAAGTCAGAAATAAGGAAATCTTCTTTGAAGACTAGTATGAAATAGTAGCAAATTGCACAGGAGACTGAAGCAGTGCTTACTTTGAAAGAGCTTTGGTCTCAGGGAGAACTTCTAACTTAATGGGAGTTGCATTCCCTTCCCTTCAGCAAAGACCTCGATAAGATCTTTAGGTGATCACTTGGCTTTGGCTTGTGGAAACCGATCCTAGTTTGATGTGACACCTCTGCACAGCCCAAAACCCAAGCAAGTTCAAAAGTCAGAAAAAAAAAAAAAAGAACAATTTAAAATGCAAGCTTTGTTTCCCTAGGAAATCAGGCTAATAAAAGATCATCTGAAGATTAAGAAAGCTTCTTATTGTTGAAAACTTGAGCAACTTAAGTTTCACAGAAGATTTACAAACTACCTTTCCGAAAGAATCTCACTGTCCCTTTTTCAATCTACTCTTGTCCATGTTACAGATAAGGGACATTTCAGATGACTAGAGAAGCGTCCCATTCATATCATCTGTTAGTTTGATCCAACAAAACCAGCTTCTATGTAAGAAAAGAGCCAGCACTCTACTATGCAATCTCTCAAAAAATGAACTGTGTTAAAAAGCAATCATTTTATTTAACTGCTACAGTCTGCAATTACCACCAAGGGCACAAGTGGGAATAAGTCATTTGAGGAAAGCTGAGACTTGCATGCTGTGTTACCTTTTCAGCCACAGAAGCTGCCTGCAGCCCAGTGCTCTGAGCCATTGCCACTCAAACTGTTCTTGCACTATGGCCCTAAGTTTATTATTAAGCAGTTAGAACAACCCAGGGAAACTACTGCTACCTAAATCCCTGCACAGCATTCAAGACAAAAATGCCTCTTCACAGAAAAGCTAAGAAAAGCAAGAACACAAACTTCAGCTTATTGCCACATATAATTCAAAAAAAAGACTCTTGTCAGAACAACCAAGCACAGAACCATTCACCCCTAATGATGTCAGGATCTGTTTAGCTTCGGATCTTCATGAAAGGTCACAGACACAAACTGTTCTAAATACTACCCTTCTCTAAAAGGGTTTAAAAATATTATCTTCATTATTTCTTGATCAGACAGTTTACCATGAAAGAGGTTAAAACAACATAGGCAGAAGGATTTCATTACTGTCACCTGGATCCAAAGGCTCCCTCTTTGAAAACACCAAAGATGTTATCTGAAGGAAAACAATGTTAAAGCCAACCTACTACAAAGCTACTGTAAAGAGAAGTCTTCCATATGTGGTACAACACAAGACACATTAATAATTTGGTGCTAATAAGCCTTATTCTGACTTACGGTAATTTTTTGGCTACTCAGCAGATAAAGGCAAGTTATGACTAGATCGCTCCCAGAGCTCAGCTGATCCACTTAAAGAATACATAGTCCATAGGTCACTGCACTGCAGTTGGGAGAAGAATTTGGTTAAAAAGTCATTTCTGCAGAGACATGGGACCCAAAAAGCCTCTTCACTAGCAAAAGGAAACACCAGCATTCTCTGTGTCACGCCAGCAGGTCCACCGGCTCTTCACAAGAAACTGCTCAGCCTTCATCAAACCCACAGGCTGCAAAACATGAGAGCACCTAGAATTACCAGAATCCACCTAGTCTCAGACAGGACAAGTGTTTGATCCATCTCCCTGAAACACATCCAAGAAACTCAATTCAAGCAGCTTAATCCCAAATTCATTAATCCGTAAGAAACAGCCTGTTGATACAATGAACACTTACTGCTGTGAGTCAGACAGCAAACCCTAGAGCTTCCCAAATTACTCCCAGTTTTAGAGCTCCCTCCTCCTACGTCTATCAGTAGACAACCACAAGTCATGCAGCTTCATGAACTTTTGCACCGAGAATGATCAATAGTAACCTCTTCATTGGAAGATAACAACTCCTTTCTAAGACCAGCATTACCAAACAGGCTTACTCACAGCAAACAAAGATATGCCACATTGCTTGTTTGCAGATTAGTCTCCAGAGACACTTCTAATCCTTTTCTGATTTCCGAGGAAACAAGGGCAGACTCCACAACCATCCCTTTACTGTTGTGAATGGTCTGATCTCAGCATTTTAGAGACACTCAGTTACTCACTTAGGAGCCATGTCCTCTCTAACCCTTTAAGATGTGCCCATCCAGTTTGTATTACACTCATTCCAGGTAGATTTTCCTGCAACTGGTACTGCCTGATATCAATAACCCATTAAGCAGAACACTTTTATATTTATTTATATATCTCCAGCTGAAACTATATAAAACTAATCTTATTAAGGAAGCCTGGCTTTTGACAGGGGATTATTGCTGCCTAGATCACCTGTTGACTCTGTGCCAGGATCAAATTAGTTGTTTAATTATGACACTGGAGCCAATTCAAGGAGAAGTGATAGATGAGACTGAAGTTCAGCTACTCTGCCAAAGTGAAATTACAGGCTGAATGATTACAAGATACAGTGGGACAGAAAAATTCTTCCAGCAATCTCAAAGCTATGAATACTTCCACACTGCTATAAATTTGGGGGTACATGAGTACAAACTACTCAAGTCTTACAACACAGCAAACAATGAGACAGTTTTCAGCAGAATTGATGAGGCAAAGAAAAAGTGACCTATACAAACGGAAGTGTCAGAGCTAATGTAGCTCTAAAGCCAAGATATGGCTTAAAATTATTCCTCCAAGCAATTTCAGATCCGCCAGTGCATTTGAGTTTTAATAAAGAAAGGATTAATGGCCTAGAAGTTTCTGTAGAAAGTTCACACACTTCTGGAAACAAGTCAATTGGCCCTTGACACATTAACTCTTAAGTTAAAAAGCAGATTGTTAATCAGGGAGGATCAAGGGTGGGAAATCACATTAGCAATTTAGTTTTTCTACAGAAATGATTGCTACAAAGACACTACCATATTTACTTCCATACCAGACACTGTCTTGACCTGGCTAGAATCCCTTGACTGCAATAAACATGCATCTTGTCTAAAATTCAATGCAACACCCAGTGTTAAGATGTTGAAGTATAAATAAAGCGGATGTTGCCAGACAGAGCGGCCCCTCGCTGCCTTTGTAGGCATCAGGACTAATGCCTTAGAAACAGCTATTCAAAAGTGAATGGCTGGGACAAAAAGTGAGAAAAGAAGTCTCACAAAAGGCTACTCCTTTTGAAAAATTCTTCCATCTCAGCTGTGCTTTCACAGGAAGCCCTACCTACTAGACTAAACTACATGAAGAGGCCACTGTCGGGAACACTTGAACTCTTTAACTTCGTAAAGCTTCAACCTTTATGCCACGGAGATACCTATCTAACCCCACTGTATAGAGGATTTCCTGACCAAAGTGATGATAACGTCCTCAGGTATCAGAGACTGACTCATGTCTCCTGTGTCTTGGTATTCCAGAGAAGCTGTGGATGCCCCATCCATGGAGGTGTTCAAGGCCAGGTTGGATGGGGCTTTGAGCAACCTGGTCTAGTGGGAGGTGTCCCCATCACAGGCAGGGACCTTGGAACTAGATTATCTTTAAGGTCCCTTCAATCTAAATCATTCTACTCATGGAATGAGTAGGGATCATTCCATGATTCCTGTTGTGCCCATCACTGTGCTGAGGAAAAAGTCCACAGAAACCAGTAACTCCAAGTATCTTTGTGACAATTCTGCTGAACTGGCAGCAACCCTGGAAGGTAAGAGACACCAAATCTTAACTAACCAGGATTCCTCCCTGCTGCCTTTCCCTGTGGTTTGTACTCTAATAAAACACATTGCATTGTTTTAAGTCAACCCACCAGGCACGTGTACACGCATGAAAGCTCAGTACACTTCCATGAGATCTGCCCCAGAATGTTTACTTGCTACACACCCACAGCATCTCACCTGCAGTGACATTATGCCACATCTCAGAGGTATTAAAATGAAAGGCTTTTAAAGACAGGCACACCTACCTATCAAGTGCTAATTATCACAGCTATATTTATTCTTTACCCACAAGCTTACAAGAACTCAAATTCATGCATAACAGTTAAGGTGTTTCTATAGATAAAAAGGTAGAAGTCTGCTTCTAAATCTACTCTAACATTTTTCCAGTAGCCATCAACTCCTTGCAACTTTCTATAAACAGCATTAATGGAACAGTCCCATTTAATTTGATTAAAACGATGGTAATCACCAACAGCTTAAAATCCCAATTCTCCAGGCAGTCTGTGGGATGGCTTTCTCTCCAATATATTTTTTGCAAGAAGAAATCTGACTTATCCTAAATTTAAATTAGCTCCAACTCCCATTTCAGTTGAAATAAGTACTATGAAACAGTGCCAATGTATTCAGAAGGATACCAGTAAGAATTATCCCCTTGAGTTGCTGGCACCAGGGTTTTGGAACTTAGGCTCACATGGCACATTGTGATAAACTAGCTTAGCTTTTTTTGCTTATTCCGTCTCCCAAAGAGAAAGGAAACAGGCTGCAATTTCATCCCTAACCTCCTTATCACCAGGCTGGAATGTGGTAAAGCACAACCTAGGAATTAGAGACAGTCACAGTGTCCACAGAGTCCACAGGCAAAACCACTCAAACTGCCACACAACTGTCACTGCAAATCAAGGGAGCAGTGACCCTTCCACAAAGCCAACTGTAAGCCACACTACTTTTAAGGTGACCACAATATAAATGAATACAAACCCAACTGCTTATTGTTCTATTACACCTTTTAAGGCAGCCAAGGTTGAGACTAGACAGAAGGGAGCTGTTTTGACATTAGCAGAGCCCCACAGGAGCAGACAATCATTCTTAGCAGTATCCTGCCTCTGTCTGTCTGTCAGGATGGACACACCAGCTTAGCCTGGTACAACAAATCACATTTTGTTCAGTCTTGAGGAAGCCACATACCTAAAGCTTGTAAAGCAAGAAAGATGAAGCCCCCAGAAAAACCATTTAAAGCAATTACCCAAAACTGTTGTCAAGATGTATTTACACCATTTAAAGCATTAAAGCACCTCCTCCTCAAACACATTTCTCCTGTGAGAATCACTTGCTTTACTCTAGATCCCTGTAAGCACCACAGCCCCTAAGGGAAAATTTGGCAGGACAGCACTCCAAACAACCCAAACCTGCTGAAAAATTGCAGTTGGTACACAGAGACTTCCACCTTGGGAGCCTTTTTATGAGGAGAAAGGCTGAAATGAGAGAGCAAAGAGGCAAGGACCATAAGCTAGGAAGGACACCTTAGAGGAGATCACATGCCAGAGATGCAACTAATGCCGAGTGAAAAAAAATCTCACCGTTGCTCGAGTTTTGAAATGACCTCTCATTCTCAGTTCTCTTCTGTGTTTCTTCATTCTCAGGCTTCTTGTTGGTTGTAGTGGAGCCAGACTGGCGTTTTCTTACACAGTCTTCACCTGCCATTGTCACCTAGCTAGAGCAGAAAAGGACAGAGGATAATTAATGACAAAAACTCATTTACTTTTTATGTTGTTCAAGAACAAATTTATATAGCCTTATTTACACTGAAATTAGACTTTCTTCCCTCCATTATGAATTCAGAGGGAGGGTAGGGGAAATTAAGTACACACTTGTATTAGTCATTTACTGTGGATCACACTTCCTCTCCCTTACTGAAATCAGTAAAGGAACAAAGTACCCAAGCGAGTTCCCCCTGCCACTACAAAAACATCTCCCCACAGCTCCCTCCTTCCCCTACAGACCTTCTAAGTATTTAAAATTACTTAAGCCTTTGTGAAATCATTAAAAGGCCAAGAAACCCTTGAAAACGCTTTCTGATAGTCACTTGGACTTCCAAGAGATCTGGTAGGTTTTCTCTGCAGAATCACCCACATTGTTTTCCCTGAGCCAAGCCCCTTCCTGTCAAGTCTTTAAGTTCTTACTGAAAGAGCAGCTTCCTCAATAGATCCTTGTACTCTGCTCGGCCAGACAACAGCCACATTGCAAACCACGGGAAAACAGGAAGAGAGAATCAGGTTTGAACAACGAATCAGGTTTGAAAGCCAGATTCAATGACAAAGGTCACTGCTGGGGACAAGGCTGCTAGCAGGGAACACCTGAACCACCCCAGCTAGCCTGAAAACAGCAAACTCTCAGCTAATGCAAAGGGGGAAAGAATATTCTACTTTTATCTCGAAGCGACATTCCAACATACTCTCCACAAAATTCAGCTCAAGAAGCTCTCAGAGATGTAGCTACAACCAGGGACAATTTTCAGAACCGGACTTCCAGAAAACCACAGGCACGTATGCAAACACATTTTCAAACTAACAGTTCTCCTTTGTGATATCTTTTTTTCACCTTGGCACAAACTCTTAAATAGACATGTGTTTTGTTGCTAGCGAACAGAATACACGCACCAGCACAGACAAGCTGTTAGAGACAGGCAAGAAAAATGCATGTACTAGTACAAAAGCTAAGAAGGCAGAACATAATTATTTAAGGATGGATTTCCTCAGAATACCGAGGCTGGCACTTCTGCAAAAGGGAAATAACATTTATGATCAGACATTTTCAGGACTTGGGTTCCTCTGTTTGTCTCTCTAGTAGAGCAAACTCCCATTCTCCTTTTGGGCATCATATCACATAGAGGAGAAAAAAAAAACAGCCTTCTGCAACACTAGACAACAAATCACTAATTAAATCACCAACACCATTTCTTGCAGCATTGCCTCTCTTAGCTCTCTCAGTCTCAGGAGATCTCAGCCAGGTCTACAAGCTATAAAACAAAGACCATAAAAATGACAAACTTCCCAGATGGCTTTGTACAACATCTGATAGCTCATACTATGACATTTAAATAATGCAAAAAGCATTTACATGATGAACAGAAAGAACTAGGTGATAATATGGTAAATCTTCCTACAGTAACTATGCTCACTGGCACTGAAAGGTACCTGGCAGGACATACCCACTTCTACCAGCTCTGTACACAGCCACTGTGAAACCTTTTGAATACCCCTCTCACCTCTAAACATGAATCAGGCACTGTCATGAAGACATTACTCTTTCCACCTCCCAGCCTTCCCACGAGGTTTTCAGGCCACACGATGAGAGCAGAGGATCATTTTGCCTGTCTGGGGCTTACAACCTGGTGGAGACCCTGGACAGGTAACCATTTCAATCTTTCTGCTCTTACACAACAGAGGTGCCCCAAACTGTATCACAGGATAAGAATGGATCACTCTGATCACACAATAGGGCCTACAGAGCAAGAGAGAGGGAAAAATAAAGCTGCTGTTTGAATTCATGCACTAACAAGCTGCTCCCTGGGTCACTGGCAAACCTCTCCACTGCCTTCTGATCCAAGTTAAGCTGTTCTTGTGAGCCACATCTGTCCTTAAAGGTGCAGGTTTCCAGATCCAACAGGGCACTACAAGTTTAATTCTTGTCTCACTAGACTTCCTAACTTCTTCAAGAGGTGAAGAAGGGACTCCTTCCTCTTCAGTGCAGAGTGGTTAGAGTATCTGACTGAAATGAGTTAAAGAGTTGCAGGATAGGAGAAAAAAGAAACAACGTTAAAGCAATTAACTTAAGAGTTATTTAATTCCCATAGGCCAAGTGATCACAAGCCTTTTTTACACAAAACAGGAACTGTGCCAGGGGAAATCTACAAAACCAAACACTTTCCTAGTCTGGTTTCCATATAACTAGAGGTATAAGATTCTAGTGCCCAAGCAACTATCAGCACACCACTGCCTATATAGGCGGCATCATTCCTTCCCCCAAACCTCTGCTAGAGCCCCATCAGTCAGGACATGATGCCATTGTAAGTCCAAAATGTTCACTACCTCCTTCACTAAAGGAAATTGTTCCTCACATTCAGCAAATATTCACTCCTTTCACCCCACTCTGGGCACTTGCAGGACATCTAGAACCACAAGCGCGTCCCATTATCAGATTTCCCAGCAGAAACTCCCTGATTTTAATCGGCATGACTGCATTATGGTACTTGTAAAAGGCTTCGGGAAACCTTGAGTTTCTCCATCTTCCCTTTCGAAACGCTGGCAACTCCAAGCATGCCTTCTGGCAACTCCAAGCATGCCTTCGGAGAAAAGCAACACCCTGTAGGAAGTAACTAACATCTTTGCATTTCAAAAGGCTTGGTTACCGCAGCGAGGGCGCATCCCCTACCTCCAGTACCGCTTATGCTAAATAATAATAATAACCTTGTCCCCAAAACCTTTGTGATTGCCTCAGGGCCTTGGGCATAACGTTAGCCGGCAGACCCGAGGGTCCGAAGGGCTCTTCATCAGGCAGGTCCTGAGACAAAGTTAAGGTGGTTCCACAGCCCACCCGCAACGCGCCAAACACCCAGCAGGGAAAAAATAAAACAAACAAACACTAAAAAAAAAAATAGCCCGAAGCCTGGAGACAGCAGCGGCAGCTTTCCGAAGCACTGCCCAGGCTCCCAGCCCACCCCGCATCACAAACCCAGCCCCCTGCTCCACGAACTCCCCGAGAA